GTCTGAAGATGTATGTCGTTAAATAATTGCGTGATCCGACTTGAGAATCTGTGGGCGCGGTGGGAGATGGATTGGCTTGACCATGAGGAGTTCTCCGATTGGCGAATGCCTTAACGGGAGAGGCCGAGTCATATTATTCGATCTTGCTCAGGGAGCTATCGGATTGGGCGACACAAAAGGCACCAGTTGAGAGAGCTCCCACGGTGCGCTTCTTGGGTATGCCGTGGGAGCAGTACTTGTCCCATACAGCAGAATGAGTGATGATATTCTTGGAATGTTGACGAAAGACCAAGGAATCACTTCTGACCTACTACTGGCACATGGAGGAGCGGGGGCCAGATATAGGTTGTCAGGACCGGAGCCACTTGATCGGCAATGGAAACTTCAACACAGAGCTACTACGGGATGCGCAAGTGTGGATTTCTGACTTGGGAGTAGAAGCAACATTGAAAGACTTGTACAAGGTGGCTGAACAAGTTAAGACGGGTCGTCGACTGTTCGAGGTGGAGCGCTTGGTGAATTGTACGCTAGAGCGCATGCACGCGGCATGGATGGCGGCGGAAATACCGCAGGAGCGGGACAACCGAGTGTAGGGGGACTCGTGGAAATATCATAATTGCGGGCATATCAAATGGGAGTGCCGAAACCTAGTAGCATCCTCGGTGTGTGGAGATCGGGTGCACCTACGGAGGGACTGCACGGAAGCCCCGACATGCGCTTGGTATGGGAGGCGTAGGTACATGGAGAAAGATGACTTTACTAGCCAGAGGGATTGGAAAGGACCAGACGACCCAGCTTACGCCCAAGCCAAGATTGCATGGCTGAAGGGGCAACAAAAGGAGCTGGAGATGGAGGAGGAGAAATGTATCACAATAATGGCTCAGAACGAGTATAGCGGTTGTCAGGTAACTTTTTGCCCTGATAGTGAGTCCATCCAGGGGAGCTCGGGTTGAGATCCAGAGAGCCGAGGGTGAGGCCCGAGGAGCAATGGCAATGGTAATTGGTCCAAGAAGGGGAGTGACCTAAGCGGAGCAGAGCAAGGGATTGGCGCAATGACACCCTATGGAGAGGATGAGCTGCCAGGCCCCGGCGTTGACTGTGGAGCTAGGCGCCATTGCGGTGGGATGCATTTTAGTATTGCATGCAATCATGGACAGGGGTGCGGCATACATCCTACTGGGATGGAGGTTGGCGAGTAACCACAGTTGGATCAGCCAAATAGGCCGGTAGCAATGTGCCACCAATTGATGACCGCAGAAGGGGGAGGAGCTAAGTGGATGGCAAAGACACAGAGTCTTGTGCAGGTAGTGGTGCAGCCTGGCACGAAGGGGGGGTGCTTGTTGTAGGTGAAGTGTGGAGTTTCAAAGTCAGAGGACAACGATCTGTTCATAGGGGTGATGTTCTTGTACAAGGAGGGCACTACCATCTGAATGTGGGTGGAGAAAATGATGTACTGCGTGCACTATTAGGAGAAGGAAGGACCGGTGAGACAGCTGCCTGTACACCTCGTGCGTCAAAAGCCACGGGAAGCATGCCAGTATCACGAAGTTGTTGCTTTAACCTCATGTTTGCATCGGCTTGTTGTCCTCGTGAGTACATCAGTGAGAGGCTTGGAGAAGTCAAGCCAAAGTGGCATGCTTTACGGCGACCGTTCAGTTATAGGTTGCACCGTTCCCAATCACCCAATAGTACATAAAGTGAGGAGTGTGAGGAAATTGTGAGTGTTCACGGAGGGTCAAATTTGACCCCTTGATATTTATCGCGTCAGACAAGGTCAACTACGCGGGAAAATCAGGACCCGCGCGTGGGGTCCTGATCGTGCGTGTGGGCCCTTAGGCCCGCGCGTGTGCCCTCTCACCATTGCGAGTGTGGCAGCCCACGATCGCAACAAGACCAGGCGAATGATCCCTGCCCACGCGCAGTATAGAGCACGTTAGTGCACAGTATTGCACGACCGAAATATCAGTCATGGTCAAGGGGTGCCCGGGATTTCGGTTGAAATAACCGAATCCCGAATTAACTCGGCGTACAGGCAACTTCGCTCGAAATGTCGTGTGCATAGTGTGACATTCTTTATACAAGAAAAAACGGTGGAAAATCGTTTTGTAACTGTAAGGCCTCATGAGGAACGGTGAGAAATCGCTTTGTAACTATAAGGCTTCATGAAAAAACGGTAATCCTACACGAGCGTTCATGATCACACACGGGAAATCATGAATGTTTGGAAACGGAGTCAGCAGGGAAATGTGGCAGGGTGCAGCTTGAAGGCAGTTTTTTTAACAAGGCAAATCAAGCCAAATCTAAGGGGAGTTTTGTAACCGTTTTTCAAGGACTGCAAGGCGAAGACATGAATGATAGTTAAACAACTGTTTTGTGTGTTTTCCTCAAGTGTGCTTAGAAGTTAGTATATAATGCATGCATGTATTTGCTTGAATCGACAATGCTGTTATGCTTTCAATCTGGAATAACGTATCGACGAGAGTAGAAACGTTAACGCCGTGCTGCCGAAACGTTGCCCGACCAGATCATCCGTCCTACAAGGAAGCGAGGCATAACTACTCCCTTATAATTTTCTATGCCCTTGGCTGGGAGGTAACAAGCTGTCACACTCAGAGGGCCTCATCTGATGTTCGAAAAACAACCACACTGATGATGCAGGGTAAATATTTCAAAACCTGATGTTACACTCCTCTATCAGTGTAACGGACAAATACACACTGCTCATAAGGGTTTTTGTAAAAGCTACGCCGCCAATCGTGAGTAGGCCAAATCCAAAACGAAGCCCTGGCCTAAACCACCCCAATTACAAGACAACCCAAGCATTTTTCTAGTGTATAAGATAAGTCATATATGTCTTATATCCGAGCGATGATGGTAGGCTATAACAGACAACAATATCATTGTCATGCCTATCGTTGAATTCATGCGTGATCCTACTGGCGTATAGGTAGCAAATGACTGTAAAACTGATGACATACCGACAACGTTTGATTTTTTTTTTCCCACGTATTAGCCCCGTCCAAACCCAGTTCCGTACAAGGTATAAAGCTGCTACAACTCTAGATCATTCATGTGTTTTATGACCATGTGTTTTTGTTATATCAACCTTATGAGCTTTAAGTGGAAAATACAAGTGCACAGTCTACCTCTTTTCTTAACAACCCAAAAGAAATAGCACTCTAAGAATAAAATTTGAGGAAAGTCCAACCTCATCAAATCCCACTCCAAACTTCCCCCATGTACGTTGCCTCAGTTGGCTGCTCAGGGTTACACCTGTCATACTCAAAGATGGCAAGAGTCCGCATAGAGTAAAACACAGCCGTGTGCGAGAATCCAGACATAGAAACGATGTAGGCATCACTTGCTGCTAGTAGCAACCACTCTACGATCAGCTCTTGGAACATCCTCGCCTCATTTTGCTTGCTTCTCTCTATGACAGAAGTGCTACTCGTGCCCTGCTGCTTCATTGGAGCTAGGGCATTGGAATGGCGTGGGACAAACGCTGTTGTGATGACCTGCACACAAGGAAAAAATGTAGGAAGTAGGACGCACTTTGTTTAAAGATTGGCTATATATACAACAGTCGTCCCCACCCCCAATTTTCCCTCCTTCCTGGGGTGCGCAACATGATATTGGGCAGAGGAAACGCAGACCAAACGAAAATTATAATAGCATCAGCCACGAGGTACACAACAGCAATCAGCCAGGTGTTTTTGTCTACCCAAGTACTTAACCACTTGGATACGAGACCTTGTTCCTGGAATTCAGAGATCTCAGACAGTTCTCCGACCATCCCAAACTCTTCTCGAAGGGCTGTTCCGACCGCATGTGCTCCTGTGGGCGACTTAAGGTTGAAACTCGAGCGCCCGCTTTGCTCATTCCATATACACGAACCATCCTATTCTTCAATGCCGGTGCTTGCATGCAGTTGCAGACATGCGCATACACATGAACGCACGCACGCATGCATGACCATGCATGCACGCTAGCATGCACGCGCGCATGTGGGCACACACATACACACCCACACCCACACCCACACCCACACCCACACCCACACGCACACCCACACGCACACATGCACATATGCACACACAAACACACAACACACACACAGAGACACACACACACACACAGACACACACGCACATACGCATGCAAGCATCCACGCGCGCACGCGCGAGCACACACACACACAGACACACACACACACATGCACATACGCACGCACGCATCCACGCGCGCACGCGCGAGCACACACAAACACACACACACACACACACACGCACGCACGCACGCACACACACACACACACACACAATCAACGCGCACACAAACGCGCACAAACACGCACACACACATACACACACACATACATCATGCGCGTGCACACACACAAACCAACAACACACACACACATACACACACACACGCAAATATGCGCCACACACACACACAGACACAGACACACACACACACACACACACACACACGCATACACACCTTGTCGGGGTATCTGGATTTGATAGCAGCCTTCAGTTGTGCTGAGTTGGTGATGACCAACCAGCGCACAGAAAGGGATGAAGGGAACCAGTACGCCTCCACACCCTGGGGTTGCACAAGAAAATAGGGAGAGGACGTTAACATGAAGGTTGGACAGGATTTAGGGGTGACGGAGTAGGGTTTAGAGATGAGGGTAAGCAACACCTGATGGTGTTTCATTGCCCACCAGAAACACAAGGAAGGTACAAAGATAGCTAAGTGAGCAAACTCGTCACAGTGTCAAGCCGAATCGTCATGTGGGTAGAAATTGGGTAGGGCAGTGATTAGCCAAGCGGGAAAGAAATTCGGTTGGAAACGTGGAGTGCAGCAGGGCAGGCAACCGCATAAAAATGCACAACCGTTTAAGCAGAAGCCCAAAGTGAATCCCTCCATCTCACATCCACCAATCCATTCATGACTCATCCACCACCACCCATCCATTCGTCCACCCACGGCCATCATGCTGCCCATCCCTCCCCACCCCAATCCCGCACCGCAGCACAGTCAAGCCACTGTTTTGCGTTCCCGACAAGCGCCTCCACGTCCTGCGTGCTCAGCTCCTTGGGCGCACCTCGGTCACCCGCCCACACCACATCGTCCTGCACGCGGATGTGAATGCCCAACGTTGCCACGTGGCTGCTGCTGCTGCTGCTGCTGCTGTTGCTGCCTGGCGCCTTCTGTGCTTCCAGATTCTGCATCGTGCTGTGGAAAAGTTCCTTCACCTCGTCACGCGGCCTGCTCCCATGTGGGTTTGGGAAAGCACGTGCAGGATGGCAAGGTAGCAAACTGGTTGGAGAGAGAGTCAAAAGCAGGCTGACCTACAACACAGGGTGTCAGTTCCCATTCCGCTGGTGCACATTCATCCACATGTCCCTCACCCGTCCCACTTGCCCCCCATTCTTCCACATGCCGCCCCTCATCTGTCCACATGCCCCCCATACATCCACATGCAGTGCTCCCTCCCCACGCCCACCGCTCACCGCAGTAGGAACCTGTGAAAGCACCCCACAGCATACGGCAGCCGTATGCCCATGGCTTTGAATTTCTCTGCCCACGCGCCCTCAGCTTTGGTTGCCAGGTGCGTCAGCATGCCCCGATTCGCCGCCACGCGGATATTAGTCGCATTCTCAAGCTCCTTGAAGTATATCTCGAGCTCCACACGCTTGTTTCGCAGGTCTAGTCGCACCACCTCCCCCGCCTTCGCAGGTGGCGGGCGCGCGGCGACCACGCCGTCGCCCCAGTAGTCTGGCGGAGGGACGACGGTCGTGGGCTCTAGAGGCACGTCGTCGGACAGCTGCCAGTCGATCATGGCCGGGAGGAACGCAGCCGGCAGGCAGTCGTGCCGGACAATGAGGGCACGGCCGTCAAGCAAGGCCGTTACGAACGCGAACAGCAGCCCATTGAGCGCGTCGCCATACCCGCCGCACCCGTCCAGCCACTCAAAGGTTAAGAAGCGAACAGCGCGATCGTACGGGCGCGGGGGCGGCCCGGTGAACCGCGTGCGCTACGTGCGCGGCTGCGCTAGCCTGGCGGATAGCACTGTGGTGCGCGGCGTAGTCGGCGGGCCAGGAGCCGCAAATGGCGGATTCGGCGGGCGAATTGCTGGAGAAGTCCCAGAGCAACGAAGGCGGTGGGTAGACGCCCTGGTTGAAAAGGGGAGAAGGGAGGGGTGGGAGGGGGGAGGGGGGAGTGAAAAGAGGTGAACACGTCTTCAGGGGGGAGTGAGAGGGACTCTCACTCTAAATCCTCGGAGGGACTACGGAGGCCGAAACGATGGCGCGAGAAGAATAGAAGTCCTGATGGAGAGCTTGGGGTAGGATTTTGACTACTGAGACTTTATAATGAGAGAGTTCATAGAAAGATAGATGGTAAGTCGTCCAGATGAGAGGAGATGGAAGTCTGTAAAGCTCTAGTAAGTCACACTTTTTGAAAACTCTGAGGCAATGCACGTCGCACAAGAGCCTGATGGAGCGTGATGAAATTCGAGGGTGCTTTCCAGGGAGAGCCTTACAGAAGCCACCGATCGAGTCGCGAAGAGGAAAAGCTCTGTCAGTGCAACGACTGACAGAGCGGCGAGTGTAGTAGGTCGCCGCCGCCACGTGCGGGGCTGACTCAACTGCGCCATCTGTGAGGTGGTGCAGGGGAATGTTTGACAGTACATCCCACCCACCTAAGAATGGGTTGTTAGGTGGGTCCGAATTTGTGTGCCTGCGTACTTGGATCAGTCTAAGTCCGCATTCCCCCGCACAAAGGCAGGGCTGTACGGAACCGCAATGTGTGAGTTACCACCATTCCCCCAGTGATGAGCGAAATTGCGCACCACACTGCTGGTTCAAATTCGGGCAATGTGGATGACACATGACGCGATTAGGTTGGCGAAAAAGAAGTTACAATTTTGTATCATGACAGAAATATTGTGAGCGTGAAGGTTCTACACGCCCTCAGAACCAGAGAAGCGCACAACAGAACCTTGCCTGCCGTTGACTTATAAGTCATGCAACAGAACTACATCCCAAAGTCTTGTAGTTCCGATTTTTTTTTTCCTTGTCAATTTATTGGCTTGGGCAGTTACCCCCAGCTGTGCGAGTGAACCGAAATTCGTCGCAGCTATCATACCCCAATGTTCTTCAGGGGCGCAGAAGCGTACTGTATTGCCTGCCAAGGTTCAGAAGTGTGCGGGATTCGTTTTGAACCTTTTTTGCCAGCACGAAGTGTTGAGTCACGAAAATTCGGCAGAGAATCATTCCATCTCATTTGGCAGATAATCATTCCATCTCAACTTGCAAGATTTGTATGCATGACACGATACAGTTCCGACTCGACTGAAATACGATCGAGGAGATGTACACTTAAGTGTACAGTCTCTTTGTTCTTTTATTGTAATTGGTGCATGCGCTTAAAATCTTTACCACCACATTGCAACCCCCCCCCCCCCCCCCCCCCCTATCTTGCCCTGTTCACATATGAGCGTGCATGTGCCTATTATAAGTATCACGATATCTTAATGCCCTGAATACCGAAGCACCCCTCCCTGTCGTGACCAGCAGGGGATGTTTTATCATAACAATAACTGAAGTGGAGATGTATATCGAATGCTTACAGAAATTTGCTACATGTAAGGGATTTTCATGTTTTGTGCATCTGAATTCACTGCGTAACTCTATTCACGGGCTCCCCCCTTTTCCGTCCGTTAATGGTGTTCGCCACATCGCGGGCTAGTTTTGCCAAACCTTGCAGGGCACATTATTCCGGTACCCTCAAACCCCCATTCTCTACAAAAATCTCATTCGAAGCCCCATACAACGAGGAAGATTGCTATCACAAGAGCGACTCCTGATTCGCTATAAGCACAAGCAGCCCCTGCTGGCCCAGCAGGATCTCGTTGAGAAAGCTGATGAGTGCGAGCCACACAATGAATGCGATGTCAACCCCCCCAATAGGCTGAATGATGGCTCTGGTGATGCGGAGAATGGGCTCGGTGGGTGCATAGGCGATGATGAAAGGGAACTCCGACACTGGGAGCTGGAGGTGGGAGAGAGAAGGGTAGAAGGAGGTTAGGAAGTGACGGAAACGGCAGCTAGGATGGGGCAAGGCACTGATGGGCTCCCTCCGAGGGTGCATACATAGGCGATGATGAAAGGTAACTCCGACACTGGGAGCTGGATGGGGGGGCATGGGGAAGGGAGAGGAGGGGAGAGCAAGGAGAAGGAGGTAATTGGAGGTGGAGGGAAAAGGGAAGGGGGGAGGGATGGAGAGAGACTGATAACACAGATGCAGCAAGTGAGATGCCAACAGCCCCCCCCAATGGGCTGAATGACGGCTCTGGTGAGGCGCAGGATAGGCTCAGTGGGTGCATAGGCTATGATGAAATGAAAGGAAAGAGGAGCTGGAGCTGGGAGCTGGAGAGGAGGAGAGAACACTGGGAAAGGGGAGGAGCTGGAGAGCACTGAGAGAGGAGGAGAGAGCATGGGGAAAGGGGTTGGAGTTGGGGGGTTCAGAGATACAGCAAGTGAGATGGGCACTGAGCAAGCCGCTGCTGGGCTGGATGAGACCGAGAATGGGCTCGGTGGGTGCAGAGGTGATGATGAAGGAGAACACAGTCACTGGGAGGTGGAGGGGGGAATGGAGGGAGGGGAGTGACGGATACAGCAGGTGGGATGGGGCAAGGCACTAATGGGCTCGGTGGGTGCAGAGGTGATGATGAAGGAGAACACAGTCACTGGGAGGTGGAGGGGGGAATGGAGGGAGGGGAGTGACGGATACAGCAGGTGGGATGGGGCAAGGCACTGATGGGCTCGGTGGGTGCAGAGGTGATGATGAAGGAGAACACAGTCACTGGGAGGTGGAGGGGGGAATGGAGGGAGGGGAGTGACGGATACAGCAGGTGGGATGGGGCAAGGCACTGATGGGCTCGGTGGGTGCAGAGGTGATGATGAAGGAGAACACAGTCACTGGGAGGTGGAGGGGGGAATGGAGGGAGGGGAGTGACGGATACAGCAGGTGGGATGGGGCAAGGCACTGATGGGCTCGGTGGGTGCAGAGGTGATGATGAAGGAGAACACAGTCACTGGGAGGTGGAGGGGGGAATGGAGGGAGGGGAGTGACCGATACAGCAGGTGGGATGGGGCAAGGCACTGATGGGCTCGGTGGGTGCAGAGGTGATGATGAAGGAGAACACAGTCACTGGGAGGTGGAGGGGGGAATGGAGGGAGGGGAGTGACGGATACAGCAGGTGGGATCGGGCAAGGCACTGATGGGCTCGGTGGGTGCAGAGGTGATGATGAAGGAGAACACAGTCACTGGGAGGTGGAGGGGGGAATGGAGGGAGGGGAGTGACGGATACAGCAGGTGGGATGGGGCAAGGCACTGATGGGCTCGGTGGGTGCAGAGGTGATGATGAAGGAGAACACAGTCACTGGGAGGTGGAGGGGGGAATGGAGGGAGGGGAGTGACGGATACAGCAGGTGGGATGGGGCAAGGCACTGATGGGCTCGGTGGGTGCAGAGGTGATGATGAAGGAGAACACAGTCACTGGGAGGTGGAGGGGGGAATGGAGGGAGGGGAGTGACGGATACAGCAGGTGGGATGGGGCAAGGCACTGATGGGCTCGGTGGGTGCAGAGGTGATGATGAAGGAGAACACAGTCACTGGGAGGTGGAGGGGGGAATGGAGGGAGGGGAGTGACGGATACAGCAGGTGGGATGGGGCAAGGCACTGATGGGCTCGGTGGGTGCAGAGGTGATGATGAAGGAGAACACAGTCACTGGGAGGTGGAGGGGGGAATGGAGGGAGGGGAGTGACGGATACAGCAGGTGGGATGGGGCAAGGCACTGATGGGCTCGGTGGGTGCAGAGGTGATGATGAAGGAGAACACAGTCACTGGGAGGTGGAGGGGGGAATGGAGGGAGGGGAGTGACGGATACAGCAGGTGGGATGGGGCAAGGCACTGATGGGCTCGGTGGGTGCAGAGGTGATGATGAAGGAGAACACAGTCACTGGGAGGTGGAGGGGGGAATGGAGGGAGGGGAGTGACGGATACAGCAGGTGGGATGGGGCAAGGCACTGATGGGCTCGGTGGGTGCAGAGGTGATGATGAAGGAGAACACAGTCACTGGGAGGTGGAGGGGGGAATGGAGGGAGGGGAGTGACGGATACAGCAGGTGGGATGGGGCAAGGCACTGATGGGCTCGGTGGGTGCAGAGGTGATGATGAAGGAGAACACAGTCACTGGGAGGTGGAGGGGGGAATGGAGGGAGGGGAGTGACGGATACAGCAGGTGGGATGGGGCAAGGCACTGATGGGCTCGGTGGGTGCAGAGGTGATGATGAAGGAGAACACAGTCACTGGGAGGTGGAGGGGGGAATGGAGGGAGGGGAGTGACGGATACAGCAGGTGGGATGGGGCAAGGCACTGATGGGCTCGGTGGGTGCAGAGGTGATGATGAAGGAGAACACAGTCACTGGGAGGTGGAGGGGGGAATGGAGGGAGGGGAGTGACGGATACAGCAGGTGGGATGGGGCAAGGCACTGATGGGCTCGGTAGGTGCAGAGGTGATGATGAAGGAGAACACAGTCACTGGGAGGTGGAGGGGGGAATGGAGGGAGGGGAGTGACGGATTCAGCAGGTGGGATGGGGCAAGGCACTGATGGGCTCGGTGGGTGCAGAGGTGATGATGAAGGAGAACACAGTCACTGGGAGGTGGAGGGGGAATGGAGGGAGGGGAGTGACGGATACAGCAGGTGGGATGGGGCAAGGCACTGATGGGCTCGGTGGGTGCAGAGGTGATGATGAAGGAGAACACAGTCACTGGGAGGTGGAGGGGGGAATGGAGGGAGGGGAGTGACGGATTCAGCAGGTGGGATGGGGCAAGGCACTGATGGGCTCGGTGGGTGCAGAGGTGATGATGAAGGAGAACACAGTCACTGGGAGGTGGAGGGGGGAATGGAGGGAGGGGAGTGACGGATACAGCAGGTGGGATGGGGCAAGGCACTGATGGGCTCGGTGGGTGCAGAGGTGATGATGAAGGAGAACACAGTCACTGGGAGGTGGAGGGGGGAATGGAGGGAGGGGAGTGACGGATACAGCAGGTGGGATGGGGCAAGGCACTGATGGGCTCGGTGGGTGCACAGGTGATGATGAAGGAGAACACAGTCACTGGGAGGTGGAGGGGGGAATGGAGGGAGGGGAGTGACGGATACAGCAGGTGGGATGGGGCAAGGCACTGATGGGCTCGGTGGGTGCAGAGGTGATGATGAAGGAGAACACAGTCACTGGGAGGTGGAGGGGGGAATGGAGGGAGGGGAGTGACGGATACAGCAGGTGGGATGGGGCAAGGCACTGATGGGCTCGGTGGGTGCACAGGTGATGATGAAGGAGAACACAGTCACTGGGAGGTGGAGGGGGGAATGGAGGGAGGGGAGTGACGGATACAGCAGGTGGGATGGGGCAAGGCACTGATGGGCTCGGTGGGTGCAGAGGTGATGATGAAGGAGAACACAGTCACTGGGAGGTGGAGGGGGGAATGGAGGGAGGGGAGTGACGGATACAGCAGGTGGGATGGGGCAAGGCACTGATGGGCTCGGTGGGTGCAGAGGTGATGATGAAGGAGAACACAGTCACTGGGAGGTGGAGGGGGGAATGGAGGGAGGGGAGTGACGGATACAGCAGGTGGGATGGGGCAAGGCACTGATGGGCTCGGTGGGTGCACAGGTGATGATGAAGGAGAACACAGTCACTGGGAGGTGGAGGGGGGAATGGAGGGAGGGGAGTGACGGATACAGCAGGTGGGATGGGGCAAGGCACTGATGGGCTCGGTGGGTGCAGAGGTGATGATGAAGGAGAACACAGTCACTGGGAGGTGGAGGGGGGAATGGAGGGAGGGGAGTGACGGATACAGCAGGTGGGATGGGGCAAGGCACTGATGGGCTCGGTGGGTGCAGAGGTGATGATGAAGGAGAACACAGTCACTGGGAGGTGGAGGGGGGAATGGAGGGAGGGGAGTGACGGATACAGCAGGTGGGATGGGGCAAGGCACTGATGGGCTCGGTGGGTGCAGAGGTGATGATGAAGGAGAACACAGTCACTGGGAGGTGGAGGGGGGAATGGAGGGAGGGGAGTGACGGATACAGCAGGTGGGATGGGGCAAGGCACTGATGGGCTCGGTGGGTGCAGAGGTGATGATGAAGGAGAACACAGTCACTGGGAGGTGGAGGGGGGAATGGAGGGAGGGGAGTGACGGATACAGCAGGTGGGATGGGGCAAGGCACTGATGGGCTCGGTGGGTGCAGAGGTGATGATGAAGGAGAACACAGTCACTGGGAGGTGGAGGGGGGAATGGAGGGAGGGGAGTGACGGATACAGCAGGTGGGATGGGGCAAGGCACTGATGGGCTCGGTGGGTGCAGAGGTGATGATGAAGGAGAACACAGTCACTGGGAGGTGGAGGGGGGAATGGAGGGAGGGGAGTGACGGATACAGCAGGTGGGATGGGGCAAGGCACTGATGGGCTCGGTGGGTGCAGAGGTGATGATGAAGGAGAACACAGTCACTGGGAGGTGGAGGGGGGAATGGAGGGAGGGGAGTGACGGATACAGCAGGTGGGATGGGGCAAGGCACTGATGGGCTCGGTGGGTGCAGAGGTGATGATGAAGGAGAACACAGTCACTGGGAGGTGGAGGGGGGAATGGAGGGAGGGGAGTGACGGATACAGCAGGTGGGATGGGGCAAGGCACTGATGGGCTCGGTGGGTGCAGAGGTGATGATGAAGGAGAACACAGTCACTGGGAGGTGGAAGGGGGAATGGAGGGAGGGGAGTGACGGATACAGCAGGTGGGATGGGGCAAGGCACTGATGGGCTCGGTGGGTGCAGAGGTGATGATGAAGGAGAACACAGTCACTGGGAGGTGGAGGGGGGAATGGAGGGAGGGGAGTGACGGATACAGCAGGTGGGATGGGGCAAGGCACTGATGGGCTCGGTGGGTGCACAGGTGATGATGAAGGAGAACACAGTCACTGGGAGGTGGAGGGGGGAATGGAGGGAGGGGAGTGACGGATACCGCAGGTGGGATGGGGCAAGGCACTGATGGGCTCGGTGGGTGCAGAGGTGATGATGAAGGAGAACACAGTCACTGGGAGGTGGAGGGAAAGAGGGGCGATTGGGGGGGTTGGAGGAGGGAGTGAGAGGAAAAGGGGGGGAGAGGGGGGACTAGAGTCACGGATACAGACAGCAGGTGAGATGGGCAAGCCATTGATTGGCTCGGTGGGTGCACAGTCGATGATGAAAGGGGACTCGGGCAGAGGGAGCTGGAGGTAATTAGAGAATAGGGGGTTGGGAAGGGCGAGGCGGGGGAGGGGAGAGGAGGGAGGGAAGGGTAAGGGGAGGGCGGGAAAGGTGGTTGAAGGGCAAGAAAGTGGGAGGGAGGGGGGAGGCATGGAAGGGGGTAAGGAGGGGGGGAGACGGGAGATTGATGACCCTCCATAACCCAGGTGGAGGCACAGGTAGAGCAGGTGGGTTAAATGATGACCCTCCAAATCCCCCCCAATGGGCTGGATGAGGAGTTTGGTGAGGCGCGTGGTGAGGCGCGTGGTGAGGCGCAGGATATAGGATGAGAATATGGTGGGTGCATGAGAAGATGAGGGGAAAAAAAAAACTTGTTTTTTATTATTTTTCAGAATATTCCTGCTTGCTGGGTGCATGAGCTGATGAGAGGGAATAAAAAAAATGGGAGATGGGAGACGAAGCAAGAGGGGAAGGGGGGACGGGAGAGAGGAGGGGGGAGGGGGAGAAGAGCTGGGGAAGAGAAGGAGAAGAGAGAGGGAAGAGCGGGGGGAGATGGGGGAAAGAGAGAGGGGAGGGGAGGGAGGTTGAAGAGACGGGGAGAGAGGGGGAAGACGGAGGGAAGAGACCCCTGGTAAGGTTCTTCTCGTTGCATCGAATTGCTGATAGCAAACGCCCTTGAGCTTTCTTCCGCCTCTTCCCCCCACTCCTCCTCATCCTCCGCCTTTCCCGCTTCCGCCAGCATGAACACTAGGGACTCAAGCGCGCGTCCGGGGGGGGGCGGGGGGGAGCGCGAGCGAGGGGAGGGAGAAAAACTCGTCAATTGCAATAATGGGGAAAGGGGGGAGGTTGCACCGATTTCTTCCCCGCCTTCCGCCTCTCCGCCTTCCCCGCTCCCGCCTCCCCCACTCCCCCCGCCTCTGCTTCTCCGCGGGCCAAATGCGCGCGCGGTATCCCCTTCGGCGGAAACTTTACTCGCGGTGATTGTTTCCGTCGCCCGCCTGCTCACTCCCCCCCCGCCACTCCGCGGAGTCCGCGCAGTCTCCGCCGCTGCAACCGCTCCCCCTCCCCCTTCCCCTTCCGCCGCACAGATGGTGCGCAACCGCTGGCGCGAAGGCTCGACATTTCGCAAGCTCCGGTGCAGAATATTGCGCAATTTCCGCGCGCCGTGTTCACATTTCCCCGTGCCTCGTAAGCGCAGTGTCTGTACCTTCATACCGTCTAGATTCAATGAAGTTGAGCATACTCGTATTCCTAGACTACGAGCACCATCAGAGCCACAGTGAACCGCGCCCCTACCGAAACGACCTGACCGTTGTCTTTGGCGGCAAGCGCTGCAGTCGAACCGCGGGAATTGCCGAGCCTGCAATGCTGACGAGGCACCCGAGGCTAAGGGCGACACGATGCTGATAATAGTCCTCGGAGGGCCGAGAAGACGAGCGGAAGCCATAGAGCCGAGGTAGTATTGAATTCGTCAAGAATTCAAGATTTCATTCGTAGCAAACGAGGCTTGCGGGTGGTAGTGGGAAAAATAACGATTTTATACTCTTTACTGTAGCACCCCCTACATCGTCAGAGCCATGCACTTCTGTTTCATATATTTGAGGCAATAGAGTGAGTTGACTAGAGATGCAACTAGAAAGGGATGGTTGTGATGGTGGAACTATTGAAGGAAAAATAGCTAATGTTGAAGAGAAAATAAAGTGGCAAACATCAATGGCTGAAATTAAATAGTGGTAGGTGGTACAATAGATGCAAAGAGCCAAGAAATAATGCAATTATGCTGAGCATTGCCGTACCGTACATGGGAAGGCGGACAGCAAGAAGCAAACAGTTTTCCCGATTGGTTTTGGAACACAGAGCATTTACGGGGACTCCACTCCCTCATATAACCCGAATCACTCAGCACACCACTTATGTTACAACAAGGTCCACCTCCGGCATCACCCTTAACCACTCTGGAACGCCTTTCACACCCTTGCATCCCCGAATCTCCACTTGCCAAAACCTGGGCAGCTGGCTCATTGTCTCGGGCAGCTCGGAAAGTTTTGGCAGCTTTTCCAACTCTAACCATTCCAGAGATGAAAGTAACCCAAAATCTGCTGGTAACCGATCGAGTTTCCCACAGTCTGCTATGCTGAGCAGGGCCAATCGGTGAAGGTGGGGGAATGGGTCAGGCAGGCAGCGCAGCAGGCGGCAGTCATGCAGGGAAAATTGCTCTAGGTGGGGTAGCTGCCCAAAAGAATCGGGCAGGGCAGCGAGACCGGGCAGGCTAGAAAATCTCAACGTCCGGAGGCTGGACAAGAGGTCAAAGGTGGGAGGGAGGGACGTGAGGCGATAACAAGAAGAGAGAGTGAGGGTGGTGAGGGAGGAGGCTAAGGGAAGGGAGGGTGGTAGTGTGGCAAGGCTGTTGAGTTGAGAGAGATGGAGTGAGGTGAGACGGGGTAGCAGGCTGATGGTTGACGGCAGGTGAGTCAGTGATTCACAGTCTGCGATTGAGATTGCTTCTAATGAGTACATAGCAGCCATGCCATGACACCGCTTCATATCCTCCACATTTCCCACATTTTCCACCTCCTCTACCTCCCCCTTTCCTTTCCCCTTCTTTCCCTCCCGCGCCCTCTCCCTCTCTCCTTCTCCACCCCACTCCCTCTCACCCTCGGCCTCTCCACCCCCCTCCCCCCCCTCCTCTTCTCCTGTCTCTATTGCACCTCCTTCCAAGAGGGACGTCAGGGACGAACAGGATTGGATGACAAGGGATTGCAGGGAGGAGAGACGGCAGAGGGAGGGAGGGAGGGCGGTCAGCAAGGGGCAGTGGCTGATGTGCAAGTGAGTGAGGGTGGGAGCGAGGAGGGAGAGGGAGTGGGGGATGGAGGCGATGTGCGAGAGGTGTGAGAAAGTGAGTGTGGCGAGGGAGGGGAGGGAGAAGAGCGAGCGAGGGAGGTGTGTGATGTGCGTGTTGTGCTTCAAGTCTATGTGAAGCGACACCAATCCTATCATCCCACCGGACCCTTCAAGTGTGTCCGACCCTGCAGCAGCAGCAGCAGCAGCAGCGCCAGCTTCCAGATCTGTACCCGTTAGAGCCACACCCGTTACATCAGCATTGGGAGTGGTGTGAAACGGGAGGAGGGTGAGATCAGAGAGGCCGCGCAGCTTCAAGTGGAGGAGAGAGGAGGAGCAGGAGAGGAAGGGAGGGAGGCGGGAGATGCGAGGAGAGTCGGAGAGAGTGAGAGAGTGGAGAGAGGGGAGAGGAGGGGGGAATGGAAGAGCAGCGTCAGACTGAATAATGTCATAATAAACAGTATCATTATGAACAGTGTCATCCCCGTCAAAGAGTGACTCCATTTGGCCGTTACCGTCCACGACCAGCTCCTGCAGCGACGGCAGGTGCATCCAGGTGCGAGGGAGGGCGGTGAGGCGCGCGCAGAGAGAGACGCGCAGGCTGGTGAGCGATGGCAGTAGGGGGAGGGGCGCCTGGGAGGTGGAGGTGGTGCTGCTGGCGTCAAGGACCCCTCCGCTGCCGCTGCTGCTGCTGCTGCTGCTGCTGCTGCTGCTGCTGCTGCTGCTGGCGGTGGTGCTACCAGCAGCAGCAACACCGCTACCACTACCACTGCTGCTGCTAGTTGTACTGGTGTTGCTGCTGCTGCCAGTCCCCGCACCTGCTCCCCCCCGCGCAGCACGAACGGACGGCAGCGCCGCAGGCGGGGACGGCAGGCGGGCGAGGGCGCCGCAGGCGGAGACATTCAAGGAGCGCAGGGCGGAGAGGGCGGTGAGAGACGCGGGCAGACTCTGCAGCATATCACACGAGGTGATGTCTAGATAGTGCAGCGAGTGGGAGAGCAGGTGGAGGGAGGCAGGGAGGGAGGTGATGAGTGGGAGGAAGGAGAGAGTGAGGGAGCGGAGGTGGGGCAGATGGCAAAGCTCGTCCGGGAGAGAGGAGAGGGCGGGGCAGTTGGAAATGGTGAGGTGAGTGAGGGAGGCGGAGAGAGCGGTGAGGGCTTCCGCGGGTAACTCCTGCATCTGCTTCCATCCGAGTAGCTCCAGCCGGGCCAGTCCCACCCTGCTCTCCCCCGCATCCTCCTTACAAGCTGACTCGATAGAAGCTCCCCCGTTCTCCCCTTCCGAAACTGCCCCGGGATGACCGTTTTCTGCTTCCTCCGCTGCGCCGGGAGCAGGCAGGGGGGATGCGGAGAGGAGCGCGGGCAGGGGGATGCGCAGGGAGGGGAGATAGGCGAGAGTGAGCGCGCGGAGACGGGGGAGGCGCGCGGGGAGGCAGGCGGGGACGGCGGAAAGCAAGGCGCATTCGCGGAGCTCGAGGGTTTCGAGAAGGGGGAGCGCGGCGGGGAGGGATGCGGGGAGCGCGCAGAGAGCGCGGCAGCGGTCGAGGGAGAGGTAGCGGAGAGCGGAGAGCGTGGTGAGGGGTAGTGCGGGAGAGGGGGTGTTCGAGAGGGAGAGAGAGGCGGGCGAAGTAACTAGCGAAGAATTATTATCCTGAGGCAGAGTGCCACTACTCTGACGAGCGGCATTCTCCGATGCGGCATCTGCTGGATTTGCATCTGAGATGATCGAATCAGTTGGTGGGATAGAAGTCTCTACAGACTCGTCGATATCCGTCGCGAAGCCGGCTGGAAGCTTCTCCAGGGCTTCTGAGTGGATTGATAGACTGACGAGAGCGGAGAGTTGACGGAATCCGTCAGGAAGGCGTTTCAGTCCCCGAGCGGTGATTTTTAACGCCGTCAAGCGAGTCAACCCGCAGAATGACGGAGGTAGAGCGGTCAGACTTGGCGGGCAGTGCAGCTCCAGGGAATCGAGCCGCGGGCAGGAAGAGAAAAGCGACTCCAGCCCGGCTTCAGTGAAGGCGGCGCGGTGGTCAGGACGAGATGACGTGGACGCGACGCGCCTGCCGCGAATGGTAACCAGCTCGGCCATGTCGCCGAGATGGAAGTGACTAAGCGATGGACACTTGGCAGCTAACTGAGAGAGGAGGTGATCGTTCGCCAATGAGAGGCTTCCATCTGGCAGAAGGACTGAAGTCAGCGACGGGAACGAAGCGACGCCCTTCAAGAATCGCCTGGTGCACAACCGTCGCTCAGGCAACAGTGCGACGTGCGAGCGGGTCGCACAGGCGACACGGTACCATCGGCGACAGACGAGGGCGTAACTACCGTCAATCTCATCAGATCCAGAGCTTGAGATCCCGGTGAGATCATGAGAAGAATCGCGCCGTTGGCCAACAGAGGATGGCCGGGAGCGATTCGGTGCAGGCTGCGAAGGAGGGCGGCGGAGGCGGTCCGACTGCTGCTGCGAACATGACCCTGGCGACTCGCCATGAGCGATGGGATCAACGTAGGTGAAGATGCGACCGAGTATGTCGTCCGAGAGGCGGTCGACCGGAGAGGATTCCAGACACAAGAGATCAGTCAATGTCGACATTGGCGCAGCGCTTGTGGCATCAACCGCCTGGATCGAGAAATTAGCCATTGCTGATAGAGTGGTGGGATTGATAAAGAGACTGAGCTGGATGGAGTTACCGAGGAGAATTTAGTCAAATAGCTCCTCTCTGGAGTCCTGTCCTCCACTAGACAGTAGCAGCATTCGTGAACAGAGGGGATGGGACAGTGTTGGGATATTTCTGTGCCGACTGATCGTGGGGTGCGGCAGAACAGACAGGATGGGGCGGGCCGCGGGACTGTCAGATCAGGTCATTGATGGTCTTCGCAATTTCGCAGTCGCAGAGTGGGGTGGGGGGAGGGCGAAGTCAAGAATGAAAACAGTTATAGGTGGTTCGGTGTATGTTCTGATCGGTTTTAAAGTGGTTTGATGGTGTTCGCTGGGATATCGATGCAGCATGTCTGCGAAATTTCTGGTTACTGTATACGACACCATGATTTGTCTCGCGGACTGACAGTTTTCGAGGCCGCGCGTGGGAGCGCGCTCTCTCTGACATCGCGCGACATTGTCAGACGAACATGGCAACCACTCTGACAACATCTGACCTCTGCCAAATCCGCTCGACCTGCGCCATCAACTTTATAACTTCCCTCATAACTCCACTTGGCTGATAAATATATGCATTGCTTCGCCGCTTTCGACAGCGGAAAGCCTAAGAAAAGCGGGTCATGTCCATGCCGTTTATGCACCAGCTGGAGTTAGAGTGGCAGTGGTTGAGCACGTTTCCGTAGAGTTGCTGAGTGGTTGAGATCGCAAAACAGGTTTCTGGAGTGACCCTCAGCCAGTAGTTAGCTGACTTCCCTAATGGTTATTGCAGTTCATCCATTCCTCATCATCATTTAAGGCGCTCGTCGCGAGTCGTGAAGCTCGAGTTTCCATGGAGCCTTGCGCGCACATCCAAAGCCTCACTGACGATCTTCTTATTCGAATCCTATGGCACTCCGCGAACCCCGGCACCTGCTTATTTGAAAGCGACGCGATATGGACCTCCTTGCACCACAAGCCCAGGTACCTCCATCCGCACCGCTTACCTGGCTTTGATTCGCCGGCGTACCAGCCGCATCTAGCGCTAACGAATCAATTCTTCGCAACCTCTGCGGGCTACCATCTCCTCATCGCGTCGGTCTGCCGTCGTTGGCGGCGACTCGCTCAGCTCTCCGTCTCCACCCTTTCCGTCCGAAGCAACCTCGACGTTCCTCTCGAATTCCTCGCGACGGCTGTCGCTTGCTTCCCGAATCTGACCTCTCTGCGTCTGTGCGACTGCAGCGTGGGGACAGTGAGCGACGATTTTCTCGATCGCCTAGCATCGTCGTGCCCTAATTTAACGTCTCTTCACATTGGAAGCATATTCACATTCGTGAATCACGGCATAAGCAAGGAGAACCACCCGGTAACCGAATCCGGTTTGGATCGGTTGTTTCAACATTGCACGCAGCTGAAGCAGCTTTCGTTCTTCTGCCTCCGGGAAAACATGGATCTACCTGCTTCCTTTTTCCGACTCGCACACTTACACTCTCTCACCCTAACAACGCCGTTAATGCTCGAATCCCCTCATCTCGCGAGCCTTTCGTCACTGACAGCTCTCCGGATCGCCTCGTGTTACCTCAAATCCAAGCAATTCGCAAATCTCCTTCGCCTTCCGAGCATCACCAACCTTTCGATCTCAGATGAAACCCAGATTTCGCTCCGCGATCAACTCGCTGCTGCTCTCATCCTCCCACAGCTGCCGCTGTTGACATTGGAATGTAGCCTAACAATTCCGTCACATCTACCGTGTAGCCGTCTCGAGCGGTTGCTCATCTCCAACTCAGACCAACTCGAGCAGCTTCCTGGAAACATCGCGGAGCTTCTTCCGTGCCTTCGTGAGCTGAGCATTCGCGGCTGCGAAAAGTTTTCCCATCTGCCCGAAGGTGTCACCTCTCTCAGCGTGTTGGAAAGCCTGACGATTTCTTCCTGTTGCTCCTTTTCGAGCCTACCTGAGAACTTTGGACAGCTGGCAGCGCTGAAGACTTTGGTGCTGGAGATGCTGCCACTAGAGAAACTTCTTGACTCATTCTGCTGCCATCCCACCTTCCTGGAAAACTCCACGTCCCATCTATCCGAGCAGCTGATATTCCCGACTTCCTTGACGAGCTTAACGATTTCCACTTGCCGCAAGCTCACCAACCTGCCCGAGAATTTTGGGCAGCTTCCGGCCCTCAGAACATTGGTTCTAGATAATCTCACACTCACAAACCTTTCAGATTCTTTCAGCCTACTCACATCCCTGGAGACCCTGTTCATACTCGACTGCGAGGAGATTGAGCAGCTGCCAGCAGGGTTCTGCAGCCTCACAGCCCTCACCACTCTCTGCCTCGTGAGGCTGTGGGAGGTGAAGCTTCCAGAAGACATCGGCGCGTTGCTGCAACTGCATACTCTTCTGCTGGACGGCAACTCTCAGGAACAGCTACTCCCACCGTCGTTCACCCAGCTGAGATGTCTAACCAGGCTTGAACTCAACCGCTGCCAGATTGAGTCCCTTCCAGAGGGCATGGGGAATCTCAGCAGCTTGCAGCAGCTCCACGTTGATTCATGCGGCCAGTTGAGCGAGCTTCCTGTGTCCATCTCAGCCCTCGGGTGTCTTCGAATCCTGACCGTTCATTCCTGTCAACGGCTCTCCCTGGCTCCAATCAGCCTGGACGGGCTCACAAGGCTCAAACACCTGGAGATTACCGACTGCCAATCGCTGCCTGAATCCGTCCAATTTCTGCCGCCCTTTCTTGAGAAGCTGAGCCTGGCGACCAGCGACAGCACTGCCCCACTGGTGACAATCCCAATGCTTACAGAGCTGAAACATTTGAAGCTATCTTGGGTCTGTGTGGACGGAGCACTGGAATTCAGCGAAAGCTTGTCGTGTCTGAAGCATTTGGAGCTGTTTTTAGAGAAAACTGCAACCGAGCTTCCATTCCCGCTGGCGTCCCTTCGCCAGCTGCGCACCTTGGCGATCTTTCATGCTGGCAAAATTCCCAGTCTTCCAGAGAGCATCGGCGCAGCTCTGCAGGAGCTGAGGGAGTTAAAGATACAGAATGCTGCGGATTTGGCTGAGCTGCCAGAGAGTATTGTGAAGCTGAAGCAGCTGACTTCATTGGAGGTTCATGCATGTAGCTGCCTAGCCTCCCTTCCGGAGGGCACCGGTGCCTTGACCAGGCTGCGCAAACTGAACGTGTCTGATTGCAAGGCGTTGATGCAGCTCCCTGCTTCTCTCACCCGCCTCGCATGCCTGACTGAGCTCGATCTTTCCGCCACCCGCGTCAACTCGCTTCCTCCCAACTTTGGGCAATTGAGCAGCCTAAGGCGGCTCGTCTTGGATGGGTGTTGGCGGCTCAGGGCGCTGCCTTGCGACATGGCTGAGTTGAAGATGTTGCTGTATCTGGGTGTGAAGCGGTGCAGGCAGTTGCTGGATCGTGAAGGATATGTACAGCCCCGCAGCTTATATACTAGTAACTCTCTGCTTCAAATAGGCCTCAAGTGAGTCAGTGGACATCACTGAGTGGCTTGCTTGGAACCACGAGAGGTTTGAATCTGTAAAGAATACATGCTGCTGAGACATGTCGCCCATGTTAATATAGTTGCTGCTGCACATGTTCTTGTACTTGCTTACCGGTATATGTTGTGCCTTTGTGTGCACCTGTATCCTCTGGTGTGGAATGACACAGTGCTGAGATTTCATGTTGAGGAGAAAAACAACTGAAGATATGCTTTGCATTATCTAAATTCCAGTAGTTCTATAGCTAACCAAATATTGTACATCAGCTTGATCACTCGTCATCATCATCGCACAAGTCAATTATCTCCTCATCATCATCTACAGCCACCACTGCCGGCTCGGCTCCACTCAACTGTTGCTGCTCTTGTTTCACATCCGGCACACCTTCCCCTTGTAACACCTGCTGCTGCTGCTGCTGGTGCTGTTGCTGCTGCTGCTCCTCCTGCTTTTGGGACCTTCCTTCCCGTGGGCTCTCCTGGTGAGCCTCCTCTTGGCCTGTTTCAGCCGAGCGCTTCTCACCGGAGCAGCTCTGCTCACCATTCTCCTCTGTGGCCTGCTTCCCATCCACACTCTTCTTCCCACCACCCTGTTCCACAACAGCATGATTTTCATCAGGCCCTGAAGCAGCACCTGCTTTGCTGCCTGCCACGTGTTCCCCTCCAGCGTGCACGTGAGGGGAGCCAGTCCCATGCACACCTGCGCTGCCCTGCTCTGCCACTTCAGGCATTCTAGGCGGTATCTCAGGTGGCTTCAACGGCTGCACAAGAGGCGATCTCTTCAAAGAGGATCTTGTCAAACGTGCTTCAGTGGGAGGTAATTTTGGTGAACATGTTCTTGCCGGAGGTGATTTTGCCGAAGCTGATTTCGCCGGAGGTGATTTTGCCGAAGCTGGTTTTGCCGGAGGTGATTTTGCCGAAGCTGATTTTTCCAAAGCTGGTTTTGTTGGTAGTGCAGGGACCACCTCCGCAACCGTGTTGTCATTCTCTGCTGGCACTCCAGCGGCCTCCTGGCCAAATCCCAATGCCTTTTTCGGAGGCGCAACAGGCTCTTTGACAACCGGCTCCCCTCTCTCTGCTGGCACTCGAGCCAACTCTTGGGTCAATGCGAGAGAATTTTTCGGGGGTGCTACAGGAACTTGAACAACAGAGTGCTCTCTTTCTGGTGACACTTCCACCACCATCTCATCACCTCCTTCTGGGGGCTCCTCACTCTCCTGCCTCTGCTTTGCCTTCCCCCCTCCTCTGGACTCCGCTTTACCCGTTGTTTCCTTCAGTTGCTCTGCTTCAACCCCCTCTCCTCGCCCCTTTTCGGTTTGGATCCTCGTCTGTTGCACCTCTTGAGGTGATTCTTTCTCTCGGGGTCCCCGTGCTTGTTTGACACCATCCCCGTGATCCTTCCCCACGGCGCTGCCTCCGCCATCCACACCACCGCCTGATTGACCCTGCGTGGTTGGCTCCTTCTGGCCCTGCGTGATTTGCTTCACAGAACCACCGTCAGCAGAAAGAGACCCCACAGGAGGAGCAGGAGGAGTGGCAGAACCAGCAGGAGCAGCAGGAGCGGCAGTGCAAGCAACAGCCTTGGGTTCTTCACTACAATCTATTGCTGCACCAGACGCCCCTGCTGCACCAGACGGCCCTGCTGCACCAGATGCGCCTGACCTCTCACACTCTGCTGCTCCAGAAGGTATTGTTTTGAGCTTAGCAGAAGCATCAGCCGTAGCGCCACTCACCTCCACAGTCTCACTCCCTGCTGCTGCTACAGCCGGGTCACATGAGCGCGTGGCAGATGCAACCTCTCTTCCTTTCGTCGATACAGCCTCATCGGCAATATTCGCAGGGCCACTCACACTCTCCCTGGCTGCTACAACCTCCTCCCCAGGATCAGCACATGCATTGTCCCAAGCCGCTCCCACCGCTACAGCCTCGACCTTGGAATCGGAAGGTGGATTATCCCCCTCTGCTACAGCTGCCTCCGCTTCGGCATTGGAATCAGAGGATGCATTCTCCCTTGCAGCTGCCTCAGCTTCTGCGTTGAGCCGGCGGATGAGCGCTACATACGGGTCACACTCTGCCTCCTCTTGCACCTCCTTCGAAGTAGATTCAGATCGGTTCTGAGGTGTTGCTAATCCAGCTTCGGACTGGTTATGAGGGGGCTTGATGGAGGAGGTAGCTTGCGGGCGAGAGGCAAGGGCAGCAGCTACGGTGGCCGCTGGAGCAGTGACACGAGTGGCGGGTGTGCCAATCACATATGGCTCTGTCCACGGGACACTGCCCTTGGGATCCTGCTGCTGCTGCTGCTGCGGTTGTTTCTGCTGCTGTTGTTTCTGCTGCTCGTTTTGCTGCTGTATTTGGTGTGATTGAGCCTGAGTTTGTTGTTGTTGAGTCTGCAGCCCCTGCTGCAACTGCATCGCAATATCCTGCTGCTCCTTCTGCCGCAACCGCTGCTGCTGCAGCTGCTGCCGCATCCCCACCCCCACCTGCTGCTGCTGCTGCTGCTGCTGCTGCTGCTGCTGCTGCTGCTGCTGCTGCTGCTGCTGCTGCTGCTGCTGGCGGCTCTTTAGTTCAGCTGCCACCACGTCAATTGCAGTCTGAATGGTGTCTGCAGCTCTTCCCGCCCCAGTACTACCTGCACCAGCAGAGCCTGCTGCTGCTGCTGCTGCTGCTGCTGCTGTGCGGTTCAGCTGGGACAGCCTTGCAGACTCACGCAGGCAGGCGAACGAGGCAGGCAGGGAAGAGGCGAGGGCAGGAGACGAGGCGGGCAGGGAGGAGGAGAGAGAGGAAGCGGCATTGTGTTTTTGTTCAGAGCGGCTAGTGAGACCTGAGAGATGCTGCTGCTGCTGTTGCTGGTCGGATGCACGTAACTGTTGCTCTAGCTGCTGCTGCAACCGTTGTTGTTGCAGCAACTGCTGCTTCTGCTGCTCCTGCTGCTGCTGCTGTTGGTACAAGGCTCGTAACTGTTGCTCCAGCTGTTGCTGTTGCTGCTGCTCTTGCTGCTGTTGCCGCAGCTGCCGCAAATGCTGCTCCTGCTGCTGCTGTTGCAGCTGGTACAAGGCACGTAGCTGTTGCTCTAACTGTTGCTGCTGCGATTGCTGCTGCTGCTGCTGCGGCTGCACCTGCTGCACCTGCTGCTGATACAAGGCACGCAACTGCTGCTCTAGCTGCTGCTGCTGCTCCAGCCGTTGCAATCGCTCCCGCTGCCGCAGCTGCTGCTGCAACTGCATTTGCTGCAGCCGCTGCTGCTGCTGCCGCCGCTGCTCCTCCTGCTGCTGCTGCTGCAGCTGCTGCTGCGACTGTCCCTGCACCTGGGGTTGAACAGGGTCTTGGAACAGCTTCTGGTACAGCTGCTCTATCTGCTGCTGTCGAGTCTGTCTTTCCCGCCCGCCATCTCTCCCTTGCTGCACCTGCTGCTGCAGTGACTGGTTGCTGGCCCTGCTGCTCCCGTGCCCTGGGGCCGGCGCTGTGTGCAGTGGTTGAGTCGCCTGTACTGCTGCCCGTGGCGCTTGGCTCCCCTGATTCAATGGCACACTTGCGTGTGCTGCATGGGGTGCATGGGGTGCATGTGCTGCATGGGGTGCATGTGCTGTTTGAGCTCCTTGTGTCATGTGCGATGAAGATGGCGCCTTAGCAGCAGCAGCCACCCAACCGGGTACACGAGTGGCAGCAGAAGCAGCAGCAGCAGCACCAGCAGAAACGGCAGCAGCACCGGTAGCACCAGAAGCACCAGCAGAAACGGCAGCACGGGCGGTGGTGGCGGCAGTGGCAGCAGGGGTGTTGGCAGTGGCAGTGGCAGTGGTGGCAGCAGTGGCAGTGGTGGCAGCGGCGGTGGTCTTGTGGTGGTATTCAAGGTTGAGGGCGCGGCACAGCAGCTCCACACGGCGCTTGCAGAACTCCACCACTCGCTTCTGCGCCGCGTTCCATGCCAGGTGCTCCTCCCGTGACCATGGCCGTAACCGCTTCCCTGCCGGCATCTGCATGCCTGCTGGCACCTGCATGCCTGCTGGCACCTGCATGCCTCCGCTTGCTGCGGCTGGTGGTGGTGGTTGTGGTGGTAGGGGTGCTGTTGGAGTTGCTGTTGCTGTTGGTGCTAGTGGTGGTACTGCTGATGGTGCTGCTGTTGGTGCTGCTATTGGGGCTGTTGGTGCTGCTATTGGTGCTGTTGGTGCTGCTATTGGTGCTGCTGATGCTGCTGCTACTGGTGCTGCTGTAGCTGCTGATGGTGCTGCCTGCAGCCTCTCTGCTTCTGCTGCCGCTGCTCCCCCGCCCATTGCGTCCTCCTTCGTTTCTTCCTTCACTTCCTCCTTCACTTCCTCCATTTCCCCTTCCACTTCCCCTTTCACTTCCCCCTTCACTTCCCCCTCCTTTGCTTCTTCCCTTTCTTCCTCCTTTTCCTTCTCACTTGCTCCCTCCTTCAATTCCGCCTTCACTCCCTCCGTTCCTTCCTCCTCCATAGTCACACGTGTTTCAGCCCCATCAGCACCACCGGCACCAGCAGCACCACCGGCACCAGCAGCAGCACCTGTTTCAGCTTTCACACCCGCAATTATGAGATCCCCCTCAGCACCCTCTTGCGCTGATGCCGCCTTCGCCTCTGCTGACTTCCTCTCTGCCCTCCCCTCCTCCCTAACACCTGCCGTGTCACCCATGCCATCCCCACCATTGGTGGTCACAGCACCAGGTCTGATAGGTGCATCAGCAGGGTTGGTGGGCGCATCAGCAGGTTTGGTGGTTGCAACACCAGGTTTGGTGGGCTGGGCGGACGAGGTGGCGACTGGGGTAGGTGGAACGGCCGGGATGTCCTCGAGGGTAAGGCCAATCATGTTGCGTGGCGGGGCAGGCGGCAGTGACAGCTCAGCGCGCGCCACGTCAGCGAGGCCCAACCTATCGTCATTGATGATGTCACTCCACCGCCCGTAGCCATGCCTGCGAGGTAGGGGTGGGGGGGAGGTGAGGGGGAGGTGAGGGGGAGGTGAGGGGGAGGTGAGGGGGAGGTGAGGGGGAGGTGAGGGGGAGGTGAGGGGGAGGTGAGGGGGAGGTGAGGGGGAGGTGAGTGGGAATGAATCATGATAGGGGTTAGAACGGAAACTATGGGTGCGAATGGGAACTGGCCGTCCTTTGTGATGTCTCTCCACCGCGCGTAGCAGTGCCTGTGTGGAATTGAGAAGGGGGCGGGAGAGGTGGATGGGGGAGGGGTGAGAAGGAGTGATGGCTGGTGGCGCAAGGAAGAACGAGAAGCATGGGTGTGCCTGGCAGACTTTCATTAGTGGTGATACCACTCCACCACCCATAGCTCACTTGGGGATGCCTTTCAGCAGCTGCAGGTCGTGCTCTCGAAAGGTGAAATGCATGCGTACCGTTTATTCCGCGACTCCTTTCAGCACTGCAGCTCACTTGGTGATGCCTTTCAGCAGCTGCAGGTTGTGCTCGGCCCGCCAGTGTCGTGTGAGCAAGGGAAGCAGGGAGGCAGAAGGGATAGAAAGTCAACAGGCGTGAGCAAGGGGAGCAGTGCACTGACACAGGTGAGTCAGCCGCCACTCACCTGGTAACGCCTTTCACAACTCACCTGGTGATGCCTTGCAGCAGCTGCAGGTCATGCTCGGCCCGCCACTGTCGCGTGCGGAAAAGCGGTGCCAGCTGGCTGTGGCTCTTCAGGTGCTCTGGCAGGCCTGGCAGCAACTCCTCCCAACCCAGCTCCACCGCTTCCTCCTTTTCTTCCACCCCCTCTTCCTTTTCACCCTGCTTCTTTTCACCCTCCTTTTTTTCACCCTCCTTCTTTTCTCCCTCCTTTTCTCCCTCCTCCTTTTCACCCTCCTTCTTGTCACCCTCCTTCTCTTCACCCTCTTGCTTTCCACCTTCTCCCTCTCCCGTCTCTCCCTCTCCAGTATCTCCTTCACCCTTCGCACCCGGCTCACTGTTTCCCTCCTCCCGCTTCTCATGCCCCTCCCCATCTCCCTCCATGCCCCCCATTTCTGAAGGTCCATCCCCCTTCCCTTCCCCCACCACCCCTCCACGCCCCCTCTCTCCCTTCTCACCCCCTTCCCCACCAGCCAAAGTCACGCCCTCCATTTCTGAAGGTCCATCCCCTTTTCCTTCTCTCACCGCGCCTCCGCACACTTCCTCTCCCGCCTTCCTGACAGCCTCTTCTTTCCCAGAAGGTGCTGCTGCTGCTGCTGCTGCTACTGCTGCATCTTTTGTTGCTGCCTCTCCCGCTGCTGCCACTGCACCCCTACGCTCTGCACCACTCGCGTCTGCACCCCTCTCTTCCACACCCCTTCCCTCTGCACTCCCACCCTTGGCCAGCCTCCTCGCCCTGACCCTCTCCCGCAGCCTCTCCCGGGTCCTCTCAGCCGCGGCCACCTTGGTGCGAATGAGGTGCAGCAGGGCCAGCCGGATCAGCACCTCCTGGGGATTCACGCCCTCCTTGGGCACTCCGTCTGGTGGAGGGGGGAGGACGAAGGAGGTGGGGAGGGAGGAGAAGAGGAGATGGGGATGGGGATGAGGGAAGTGAGAGGGGAAGGAGAGGGGAATGAGATGCAGCAGGGCCAGGCGGATGAGCACCTCCTGGGGACTCACGCCCTCCTTGGGAACTCCGTCTGGTGGAATGGGAAGGGGGAAGGGGAGAGAGGGGTAGGTTAGGGAAGAGGAGAGGCAAGAGGAACACTCCTAGTTGACTCAGACACCGCAATATTCAAGATATATGTTCAAGATATATTTGCAGGTCCGTTAGTAGTTCAAGTATCTGAGGAGATCAATACCAGGGTGCGGCAACAAAGGGACGGGTCATGACAAGGAGGAGGAGCGAGAGTAGGGGACACAGGAAGCATGAATGAGGTTACAAGAATGAATGAAAGGTGGGTCACGTAGGATAGAAGAGTGATGATCGTACTGCGTGCACAGTGCAGCAGTGCTACATGCACGGCACTGCACGCACAGAACGGAATGCAGTTGTGCGCGCTCGCATGGCAAAACCATATTCGATAGCAATTGAAGGGGTAAGAGGAGGACAGGAAAAGGCAAGGTGTTGCATGCACAGTGCTACATGCACGGTGCTACATGCACGGTGCTACATGCAAGGTGTTGCATGCACAGTGCTACATGCACAGTGCTGACGCCAGAATGGGCTGCAATCGCGCGTGCGCGTATAGACACAGAGGTGAAGCCTTTTAACTTCGGTGTGGACCTCCAGGCTGCACGCCATGCAGGGCGTTGCATGCACAGTGCAACATGAATGGACTGCAATCGCGCATGCAGAAAGGTGAAGCCTTTTGACTTCAATGTGGACCTCCAGGCTGCACGCCATGCAAGCGTGACGGAAGCAGAACGTGGAGCAACTCTTACTGTTGCATCCTGAATCAGCTAGCAGCGTTTAGGAGCTTCTGGTCGCTATTTCACGGGACGTGATGACTTGGCTGATGACTCTGGGAGGATGAGATAGGATGACTGGCATAATCAACTAAGTCATCATGTCGTGTGAAATATCGAGAGGAAGCTCTAACACGCAGCCAGCTGATTCATGATGAAACAGCAGCATGAGTTGTCATGTCACACATACCGCTTTCTTCATGCCTGCATGGTGTGTGTGCAGCCTGACCCATTGAAGTCGAAAGGCTTCACCTCTGTGAGCCTGGTGATCACTGAGCAACTGAAATGGAGTACCATTCAACGATTTTTTAGGCACGTCAAGAAACTATTTTTTAGGCGCCTCAAGAAAGGCTTCACCTCTGTGACGTGAGCAAGAAAGGCTTCACCTCTGTGACGTGAGCAAGAAAGGCTTCACCTCTGTGACGTGAGCAAGAAAGGCTTCACCTCTGTGACGTGAGCGAGCCTGGTGATCACTGAGCAACTGGAATAGAGTACCATCCAACAGAACGGAACGCAATTGCGCGCGCTCGCATGGTGAAGCCATTGGCAGCAGTTGAAGGGGTAGGGGGAGGACGAGGCAAAGGCAGGGCACCTGAGAATGTGTCTTTGCTGGTTGGATCTTCCTGTATGTGCTTCAGATAAAGCGCACCGTAGCTGATGGACGGGGAGACGGATGATCGGAAGAAGCATGATTCAGAATAATGGCAGGATGAGAGAGCATAGAACAAAACAACAACAACAAAACAACACACAACCATTCAAGAGCATAGAAATTCATCATTGGAAGATGAAAACAACAGAGAATAAACAACAGAGAATAGTAGACGCACATGCAGATCGGCTCAATGCTGTGATTTCCTGCAATTGAGAGATTAATAAAGTCGGCTCAGAAGTAACTAAGGCCTTCATAGTCTGCTTGGTGCCTGACAGGAACTCCTTTCCAGTTGGAGCGAAACAAGGTGTCTTCTTAGTCGACACAAAAGCGCACCTGTGAAACTCAGAACTCTAATGTGAGACTCGAACTCACTCTTTTATCTCCTGCAGGGTGCGCGGCTTGAGTCGAGGCACGAACTCTTTCCAGCTGAAATCACCGATCCCGAACCTGCAGCAACAATTACAGGGAGTGGAGGGCAACAAGAGGTTGTAGCAAGGAGAGGGGAAGCAAGATGCTGGCAGGCATGCATGAGAACCCCAAGCGCCATCCCCCCAAGCAAGCACAGATTCCCCCACACTCACCGCATGATGAGCTGCTGGAAAGTCATGCGCTGCTTGGATGTGAATCCCAACACCTTGGTGTACGGCCATGCCCCCTCCATCACATTACATGCTGGTGACTGACAGACAGGTGAAACCCATGCATGTGACCCCGAGCGCCCTTCCCCACACTCACCGCATGATAAGCTGTTGGAAAGTCATGCGCTGCTTGGATGTGAATCCCAGCACCTTGGTGTACGGCCATGCGCCCTCCATCAACGGCCACACTTTCCTCCTCACTTCCCCTGCACTCCCCCCTCCTCCCGCCCCTCCCACAGCAGCACCAGGAGAGGTAGCGGGAACCGGCTTTCCGTACCTAACCTTCCTCTTCCTCCCCCTCCCCGTACTTTCCTCCTCAAGCTCCACATCACTCTCCCCATCCTCCCCATCGTCCTCCTCCCCATCCTCATCATACGCCTCATCCCCCTCCCCTTCCCCCCCCTTCTCCCCCTTCCCCCCTCTCTCCGGCTTCCGCCCGCCCACCTTATCCCCCTCCTCCTCCCCATCAACCGTGTAATCCACATGTCGCCTCGCCCGCCTCCCCTTACCCAGCTCCAAAAACGCCTCTATTTGTTCCGCCTCGTATTTGTCTTTCAGCAGTGACTCCCAGTACGCGGCTCTTCCTGCAGCGTCTAAGCGTTTGCCGTCTCTCTCCCCCTCCCCTGCCAGCTCCTGTTCGCGTTGCCTTTCTCGCTCCAGCTCTCTCTCCTTCTCTGCGCCGGCCTCGGCTTGATCTGCTTCTGATACGAAGCTGAAATTGGCAACCTGAGGCGGCAAGGAACGTTTGGCAATAGGAGGGCAAAAGGTAAGTTTTTTTTTTCAGGGCGTAATCTGTGTACACTGTACAGAGTACTCAACACGTTACCACGAAATGACTTATGCATTACCACATTAGCTGACATCACATCTTGGCATCACTTCAAAACACTAAGAGGCATATAAGCTAGCAACGGCAACACTGCTTTTCGAGTGCCTTGAAGCCCTTGAAATATCGAAACTTAAGTCGTTCAGTTCAAATACCATTACAAACTTGCTGCGGTTACCTTGAACGCCTTGAGGTAGTCGTTGTCGGGTTCATCCTCCGCCTGCTCCTCGCCCACTGTGCTGCGATCCAACAGCCTGAGAACAGGCCAGAGGGGCAGCGGAGAGGACAGGAGGTGAAAGAGGGAGGTGGACATAAGAGAGATGAATATTGTGGCTAATCGATCACCGCGTCGGCCTCGCCCACTGTGCTCCGATCCAACAGCCTAGAACCGGGCAGAAGGGACAGGGGGACAGCAAGGAGAGGTGGAAAGGAGAGCAGAGAGAAGATTTGAGGCGAATCAATCACTGCGTGGCCCTCGCCCACTGTGCTCCGATCCAACACCCCTTGCCTGCTACTCACTTCACATACAAACGTACCTGTCGATCGCAGCGTCATCGTAGTGCTCCGCGGACGCTCTGCATAGCAAAGGCAAGTAATGTGCCGCTACTCACTCACTACCAATGAATAAACGTACCTGTCGATAGCGGCATCATCATAGTAGATCCGACGGCTCTCCTTCTTCTGCTTCTTCTTTTCCTTTGCTTTCTCATCCCCAGCCGCTCCTTTCTCAGTGTCCTTGTCAGCATCCTTGTCAGCATCCTTGTCAGCATCCTTGACGGCATCCTTACTGCCTTCTCCAGCCTTGTCTCCTGCCACCTCCCCACCACCTTCCTCCTCTTTCTTCCCCTCTTCCTCCTTTGCCTCTTTCCCCTCTTCCCCTTCCTCTCCTCCTTTCCCCTCTTCCTCCTCCTCGTCCTCTTCAAACAACTCCTTGGCTCCGAATCGTAAAATGTCATCCAGCTCTTCCTGTACAGGCACACACAGCGACAGGCACACACAGCGACAGGCACACACAGCGACAGGCACACACAGCGACAGGCACACACAGCGACAGGCACACACAGCGACAGGCACACACAGCGACAGGCACACACAGTACGAATACAGAAAAGGTGGATTTGGAAACTACCGTTTCGACTATTGCCATCAACACCCTCTCTCCTTTTCCATCCACGTTCTCCTCCTCCTCCTCTTCAAACAGCTCCTTTCCTTCGAATCGCAGAATGTCGTCTAACTCCTCCTGTACAGCCACACACAGAAAGAATCACACATGCACAGCAACAGGTGGAAAACAATTTAAAACAAGAACGAGTCCATTTGACATACATATTTTCCCATACAACTTGTATGTATCAATCAAATACTTCCGATACACTTCACAGAATTCTGGTGTTTGTTGCAAAGCACGCATTCTCTGATCACTGTGGGTCTCACTTCGGCTTCACAACAAACAGCCCACCCACCTGCTGAAGTTGAGTAATCGCACCCACCTGGTTGAGTAATCGCCCCCACCTGGTTGAGTTATCGCCCCCACCTGGTTGACTTATCGCACCCACCTGGTTGAGTTATCGCACCCACCTGGTTGAGTTATCGCACCCACCTGGTTGATTGGTTGGTTGAGTTGAGGCATGTTGCTCACCTGGTTAAGGTTGGACTGTTTCAGCTTGCCCACCACCACGTGCTCTAACACCATCTTCTTCTTGCTCATCTGCACCATCCGCTCCTCCACTGTCGCCCGCGTCACCAGCCGGTATATCATCACCTGTGATGGAGTGGCAGATGGAGCGCCGCATACACATGCACAAATACACACAGAGAGGCAGGAACTTGAGAGTGCCGAGTGTGCTTGGCCCTGGCAAGCAGGGATGAGAAAGCATTTGCGTCTCATCAAATACACAGGGGAATGCCTCGCCGTACGGAGTGGCAAAAACTTGCATACGCATGCACTGCACACGGAACGCACATATGAGTGTGCATGGTCAGTCCCTCACTCACACCCATGCACCCACTCTGCCCCACTCTCCCCCCCCCCTCCACCAACCCCCCCACACACACGCACACGCACGCCCCTACGCCCGCCCGCCCACCCGCATGCACGCACACACCCCCCTTACCGTTTGGGTCTGCCCCAGCCTGTGCGCGCGAGCCATGGCCTGCAGGTCCGCATGCGGGTTCCAGTCACTGTCGTGGGGCAGGGAGAATGGGTGAAAAGTGGGGAAAGGGGGTAGATGGGAGTAAGCGGGGGTGGGGGAGGAAGAGGGAGAGGAGAGTGGTTCTAGAGTAGAGGCTATTGAGAGCATATGGCGAGCCATGGCCTGCAGGTTGGCGTGTGGGTTCCAGTCACTGCCAGGGGGGTGAGGTGACAGAGCACTACTGCCACCGCACCACTACTGCCACCCCACCACTACTGCCACCCCACCACTACTGCCACCCCACCACTACTGCCACCGCACCACTACTGCCACCCCACCACTACTGCCACCCCACCACTACTGCCACCCCACCACTACTGCCACCCCACCACTACTGCCACCCCACCACTACTGCCACCCCACCACTACTGCCACCCCACCACTACTGCCACCCCACCACTACTGCCACCGCACCACTACTGCCACCGCACCACTACTGCCACCCCACCACTACTGCCACCGCACCACTACTGCCACCGCACCACTACTGCCACCGCACCACTACTGCCACCGCACCACTACTGCCACCCCACCACTACTGCCACCGCACCACTACTGCCACCGCACCACTACTGCCACCCCACCACTACTGCCACCGCACCACTACTGCCACCCCACCACTACTGCCACCCCACCACTACTGCCACCGCACCACTACTGCCACCCCACCACTACTGCCACCCCACCACTACTGCCACCGCACCACTACTGCCACCCCACCACTACTGCCACCCCACCACTACTGCCACCCCACCACTACTGCCACACCACCACTACTGCCACCCCACCATATGGGGTAAATATACTCATAGTGCCGGGCCAGGCCCCATTGCGAGTTGAAAGGAGTCTATTCTTGAGGCGCCTCAAAAGTGTGATGAGTCTATTTTTTAGTCGACTCAGAATGAGGTACCTTACAAATAGACTACTCACAGTGCCGGGCCGGGCCGGGCCGGGCCCCATTGCCGAGTTGAAAGGGAGCAATACAGAGCAGCCGGACCCTGATAAAGTGAAGCTACAGCCAGAGTCTAAACTCTAAGATTACCTACCTGTCCTGTCCCATACAATCTCATTCTTTCCGCAGCCGTTGTATATCTGTAACAGCAGTGGCCAGGTTAATCCCGAGTCCCCCAGCACAAGTGGAGAGGATGAACACAAAATGGGTCGACCCCAGCGAAACCACAAATTATACTTTGAAAACACCTGTCCTATATAGTCACATCTTCTGTTCCGCACCTGTCGTATATAATCACGGTGTCGGCAGTGGCGAGGTTGATCCCCAGCCCACCAGCGCGCGTGGAGAGCAGGAACACAAAGCGGCTAGACCCGGGGGCATTGAACCGGTCGATGCGCTGCTGCCGGTCCGTGCCGCTCACGCTGCCGTCTATGCGCTCACACCCCCAGCCCTGTGGGACAGGAAATTCGGTTAAGGGGATGGAGGGACTGGTTAGTAGGAGTAGTAAGAAGAAGACTGGGCCACAGTGCGTTGAACCAATCAATGCTCTGCTGCCGGTCCGAGCCGCCACTGATGCAGCTGCCTATGTGCTCACAGCCCCAGACACCCCTGACGGATGGGGTGTTTGGGTAGGGGCGGAAGGAATGGAGCACACAGTGGCTGTGGGAGTGGAGGGAGGGTTCACCCCACCCCGCTGGATGCACACAGTGGGTGCAGTGAGTTGGATCGTCAGGCTCCCACAGTGGTGGGAGGGTAACAGAATCAGGCTCCCATCAGAGCGCTGCTGTCGGTCCGAGTGAGCTTATAAGCTCCGATCGTCTGTCAACTTGCTTTTACATCTCCACTCCACCTGGCTGGACGAAAAAAGCGGCTAACGTTGCCAGCCAGCCAGCCGCTGCTCAGCAGCAGATCGAGCACGCGCTTGAACTGCACGGAGAAATCGGCCAGGTCATTAATTGAGTCACGTGACTCATCCATCCATCCGTCCAACCCAGCTCGCCTCACCATCCCCGCCTTGCTTCATCAAATCAGTACCTAAGAATCACTCACCTTGCCCATGAGCCACCCACCTTGCCCATGAGCCACCCACCTTGCCCATGAGCCACTCCTGCAGCAGGTCGGTCCAGCATGCGCTTGAACTGTGAGTACACCAGCACGACCAACTCAGTTCTGAGATTCCTTACTTTCCAGTCCCACTCTACTCTAATGATAGTGATTCACCTTCCCTCCCCACCACCCAGCTACCCACCTTGCCCAGGAGCCACTCCTGCAGCAGGTCCAGCATGCGCTTGAACTGCGAGTACACCAGCACAGCTGAGTCAGCTCACAGACACCTGCAGATTCACATGAGATCCGCTATTCCAATCCCACTCAACTCTAGCCAAGCCACCTACCCACCTTGCCCATGAGCCACCCACCTTGCCCATGAGCCACTCCTGCAGCAGGTCCAGCATGCGTTTGAACTGCGAGTACACCAGCACGCGATGCCCCCCCGCTTTCAGCCGCTCCAGCATTCGCTCCAGCAGAGCCAGCTTGTCAGATGCCGCCACCATGCGCCTGGGAGGGAAGTGCATGGAGAGGAACAAGGGACAGGGAGGGAGCAGGGGCAAGGTGAGTGCACCAGCACAAGGTGCCCCCGCCTTGAGCTGCTCCAGCATTCGCTCCAGCAGAGCCAGCTTGTCAGATGCCGCCACCATGCGCCTGGGAGGGAAGGGACGTACACAGAAGGTGAGGACAGGGGACAGGGGAAGGGAGGGAATAGAGGTGACGGGCATTGCTACCGTGTGTGTGGCGCTCCAGAATTCGCTCCAATTGGGACGTCGAGTTGGATACTACTGCCATATTGGTGCGGCTTTTGAGAAACCTCAAAAGTCGCACCGACATCTAGTAGGATACTGCCACCATATGCCGGGGAAAGAAGAGAAGTACATGGAGTGAGAGTGTGCGAGTGGGAGAGGGTGAGTGAAAACCCTCCTTTCCCACTTTTTCCTCATGCCCCTTCCATGGAACGGGTGGCAGCACATCTTCCTTAGCTGTGGTCTCTCTGTGCGGCCATTTCCCCCCCCCACCCCACCGTCACTTACCGGCTGGCTTCTGCTGGGGTGTCTCCCCCTCCGTGCTGCTCCTCCACGCCCTCCACCAGGAACGGGTGGCAGCACACCTTCCTCAGCTGCATCATCGTGTTTGTGAGGGAGACCTGGGGGGGGGGTGAAGGCAAGGTAATAACAACGGGAGATGAGAAGAGGAGATGCAGACAGCGCCCCCTCCACGCCCTCCACCAGGAACGGGTGGCAGCACACCTTCCTCAGCTGCATCATCGTGTTTGTGAGGGAGACCTGTGGGGGAGGAAGTTACAGGGTGAGTAACAGGGTACAGGGGATGAGGAAACGAGGTAAGGGTTATGGGGTGGCACTCTTTGCATTTTGAGACGTCTCAAGATGAGGAAACGAGGTAAGGGTTAGGCTGGAAGGGGTGACACTCTTTGCGCCCTCCACCTGGAAGGGGTGACACTCTTTGCGCCCTCCACCTGGAAGGGGTGACACTCTTTGCGCCCTCCACCTGGAAGGGGTGGCAGGCTGGCAGCACACCTTGCGCAGCTGCATCATTGTGTTGGTCAGAGATACCTGTGAGGGGTGTTGAAGGTAAGGGGAGAGAACGGGTGGCACCCTCTCCACTCCACTCCACTCCTTGAAGGTAATGGGAACAGGTGGCAGCGCACCTTCCTCAGCTGCATCATGCTGTTGTGGGAGCGGTAACTGGGGGAGAGCGGAGAGAGTGCCCCCCGTTCTCATTGGGGGAAGCGGTACAGCGCTCGCTGTACCTGGGGGACAGACAGAGAGAGTAACGAACCGTACCTGCTGCTGCTGCCCTGATGCCCTGGTGAGCGAGTGCCTGGTAATTGCGGGTGAGCACAGTGCATGGTAGTGAGAGGTATGAGTAACACGCATAAGCACATTCATGTTCCCTGGATGTAACGTACCTGTTGCCCAGATGCCTTGGTGAGCGCCTGGTAGTTGCGGGTGAGCACAGCACGGTACAGCGAGCGATCCCCAAGTAAAGACGACAAGCACAGTATTACGTGTTCGGTGCAGTGGTGTGTGTAAGTAGCAGGTGCAAGTACGGCACTCCGTGTGCACAATGTACCTACCTGCTGCCCCGACGCCTTGGTGAGAGCCTGGTAGTTGCGGGTGAGCACGGCGCGGTACAGCGAGCGCTGCAGCGGCGCCAAGTCCACGCGCAGAATCTGCTCCTTCTTGGGCGGCATCTGCTTCAACACGTCCTTCTTCAGCCCTGGAGAATACCGGGTGGAGAGTGGACGGGGAAAGAGAAATGGAGAGCAACATATAAGGTGGTGGTGAGGGTGTCATTTTCACGGCTCTGCTCCTTCTTGGGCGGCATCTGCTCCAACACGTCCTTCTTCAGCCCTGGGAGAAGAGAGTGAGGGGGGAAGGACAATGTCCAATATAAGGAACCTCGTCTGATGAGCAAGAGCTTCACGGCCAGAGGTTTGAAGCATAAGGCTCAGAGTTTAAAAATTCAGGGTCTTTAAATTTAGAGGTCGGGGTATCGATTCAGATGTGTTTACGTGTGGGGAGGTGGGGTGTGAGCAGGTGTTGCAGCTTGGCCACTCGCTACTGTGCCTTGCATGTAGAGCGAGCAACGGGATCAACAACGAGAGGAGCAAGAGCTTCAGCCACTAGGGTTCAGGGCCTTGGGCTTGGAGTTTGGGGTTTGGGGTTTCAGTTCAGGTATGCTTACGCCTGAGCAGGTGTGGCGCCAGCAGGTGGTGCAGCTTTGCCACCTGCTGCCATGCCGAGTATGAATAACAAAAGCAACAAGAGCTTCAGGGTCTGGGGATCGGAGCTAGTGGTTTTGATTCAGGTATGCTTACGCCTGAGCAGGTGTGGCGCCAGCAGGTGGTGCAGCTTGGCCACCTGCTCCTCCTGCCCCAGCTGCTGGAACTCGCCCTGAAACCCCTCCAGACTCGCAAACTGCCGCCAGGGTGTTATGGTGCAAGGGCAGCCGGAACATAGCATGGGAGCACACCGGGGAAGGGACACAAGGCAAGGGGGTTATGGTGCAAGGGGCAACACGAACATAACACAGAAAGACACGGGGCAAGGCAGGGAAAGAGTTCGAGTGGGGTTGGGGGCAAGGGAATGGTGCAGCTTTTCTCTAAGGGAATGCAAGATAGCTACAGATGAACCTTACCGGCTGCCATTGCCAGGGGAACCGCTTGCCATACTCAATCTTTCACCTCACCTCACTCACCCATATTGAGTACTTCGTTTGTACTTTGGTGGCATCCAGAAACCACATGGTCGCCTTCCCATCGCATTGCTAACGCTCACCCTCTCGCCTCACTTCGCTCTCTCCCTCGCGATAGGTTGGTCACGCTCCTCCCCTCAACTTTCCTCACCTCACCTCACCTCACCTCACCTCACCTCACCCCCGTCCACTCCATCGCTCACCTTATCGGCATCGAGGAAGTGCATGAGGATGAAAAGTTCGTCCAGATTGTTCTGCCGGGGGGAAATGGGGAGACATGTGGACGCAAGATAAAGGGGGGCGCAAGGGAAGGGTACAGGAAGAGGATGAGGACGGACTTAGAGCAGCGGGAACAACTTGGAAGCAGCGACGGGGAGACAGTGAGGGGGGCATTGCCTTTTGAGTCGACTCAAAAGTCAGCGGGGAGACAGTGAGGAGGGCATTGCGTTTCACAACCCGTTACCTGCAGGGGAGTGCCGGTGAGCAGCAGGCGGTGCAGGGAGGAGTAGCTCTGCAGGGTCCCAAACAGCTTGCTCTCCTTGTTCTTCAGGCGGTGCCCTTCATCCACCACCACGCACCCCCTCCGCACAAACACCACCCTCTCTTCACCCCCACCCCCACGCCCTCACCTGCAGGCTGCTACCACTGAACACGTTACCTCAAGAAGAGAGCCCAGCCAGCATACCTGGACACACAGTGTAGGGCACGGCACAACTCGCTAGTCACCTGCAGGGGAGTGTCGGTGAGCAGCAGGCGGTGCAGGGAGGAGTAGCTCTGCAGGGTCCCAAACAGCTTGCTCTCCTTGTTCTTCAGCCGGTGCCCCTCGTCCACCACCAGGCACCCCCAACGCACCAACGCTACCCACCACCCCACCCTCTCTTCAACCCCATGCCCTCATGCCCTCACCTGATACCACTGAACACGTTACCTCATAGGAGAGCCCAGTCAGCATACCTGGATACGCAGGAAAGGGCACGGCACAACTCGCTAGTCACCTGCAGGGGCGTGCCGGTGAGCAGCAGGCGGTGCAGAGACGAATAGCTCTGCAGCGTGCCAAACAGCTTACTCTCCTTGTTCTTCAGGCGGTGCCCCTCATCCACCACCAGGCACCCCCACCGCACCTGCCTCAGCTGCTGCGAGTCACTGTTCACCGCCTCGTATGACGTCAGCAGCACATCAAACCTCACCCGCTCCTGCCGGGACAGTTGCTGTTGCTGCTGCATGCGCCCACCACCAGGGGGAATGCGTTTGCTGCCCCCCTTGATGCTGCCGCCCCCCCTGCTTCTGCCTGCTGATGCGCTGCGTGGCTTGCGCTTTCCACAATGAGTGCCTTTCCCACTGCGCCTGACCTTCGCCCGCTTGCTCAGTGGCATTTCCTCCTCGTCCTCTTCTTCCTCCTCTTCCTCTTCCTCCTCCTCATTCTCACTACCCTCCTCTTCACTCGCCTCCTCCTCGCTCTCCTCCTCATTCCCCTCCTCCTCAATCCCCTCCTCTGCAACCACCACATACTCCTCATCATCCTCATCTGAAGACTCATCCGATGACGATGCTGACTCTCCTCTCCGCCGCTTCCGCCCCTTCTGTTGCTGCTGTTGCTTCATCTCCCTTCCTCTCTTCTTCCCGCGATCCTTCTTTCCCTTTGCTTCTCTTAGCCTGCCCTTCTCTCGACCCCTAACAGCCCTCCCTGTACTATCGCTTCTCATCACACCCCTGCTCCTTGCCTCCCTATCTTGCTCTCTCGTAACACTGCGGGAAGCCCTCGTCCCCATCTGCCTGCGTCTACTCTTCCCTGCCTGCTCTTCCTCCTCCTCCCTTTCCTCCTCGTCTCCTCCATCCTTATCCTCCAGCACCCCAACCTCTTCCACCTCGTCATCACTATCCCCATCCGACCCGCCAGAGGACTCCTCAGACTCCTGCAATTCCTCTGACTCAGAAGACACAACCATCCTCCCCCTCGTTCGTTTCCTCTTGGCTCGATGCGGCCCTCGTTGCACCGACCTCTCGAGTTTCCCACCTTTCCCCTTATCTCCACGCTTCTTGCTCTCTCCACCCTTCCCTTTCTCGCCACCTTTCCCCTTCTTCCCGCCCTTTCCCTGCTTCCCTTGCATCCGCGTATCCTTGGTTGAAGGAGGAGGGGGAGGCGTGTAGGAGGAGGGGAAGAAGAACTCGTGTTCCCGGATCAATGCCCTTGCTGCACCTGTTCCCACATACATCACCTGCATACATGCAGACGTATTCACATGGAGGCATGCACACACATGCACACGTGCACAAATATAGACACGCACAAGTGCTCACATGCCCACATGCACATGTGCATGCATGCACACATGTACGCATATCCACATGAACACATGCAAACGTTCACACATGCGCGCACGCACACAACGCATGCACCCATGCACACATGCACACATATCCACATGCATGCATTCGAAAGGTGTGTGTACACGTGGAAAGCACGAGAGTCCAGTAGAGCGAGGGAAAGGGGAGAAGGAGTTGTGCGACCCAGCATAGCAGATAATGTGGTGTGTGTGAGCAAGCACGAGAGCAGGAATAGGAAAAGGTGTATTCTTATAATTCTTAAGGAATGCATACAACAATAAGGGGAAACGGGGGGGGAGGGGGGAGTGGGGGGGGTGGGGGGGGAAGAGGGGGGGGGGGCGTTCTGAGACACAGCATGATGCACACGAGGCGTGTGAGCAAGCAAGAGCTCGAGAGAGGGAACAGGAGCAGGTTGGGGGTAAGCCAGAGGAGAAGGGGGTATGGGGAGGAGGAGCGAGGGCGAGCGGGGGGGGAAGGGAGGGAGAGAGGGAGGGAGGGACGAGGCACATGAGGGGACCACGTGACAAAGCCCCACTGCTACTAGCGCAGCGCAGCGAGGACAGCAGCAGCACCTTTGAAAGCTCTCAAAAGCAGCACGGCGGTTAGGCCAGGAAAGCATGGGGCAGAGAAAGTGAGAGGCAACGAGGTGTGAGGGGGGGGGGGGGGGGGCGAGAAAGCATGTGGATGGATGCACCCACCACTCGCAGGTGGGGCGCCCACGTGGCGAATTCGCGCTGCCAGTTGCGCAGAGTGGAGAGAGGCACCACCACCATGTGGGGGAGCGCAGAGGAGTATCTAGGCGTTGAAAGGTATGAAGGTCAAGGGAACATGTGCACTCACCACGCGCAGGTGGGGCGCCCAGGCGGCGAACTCTCGTTGCCAGTTGCGGAGAGTGGAGAGAGGCACCACCACCATGTGGGGGAGCGCTGTGGCCCTCTCCTCATGCAGCGATGCGAGGAAGGAAATCGCCTGCACCGTCTTGCCTGCGGTGCGTACGCAGGGGAATGAGGGAAGGCAGGATGGGGTGGGATGCATGAGCGGTGATGGCCTCGCCTCCTGCAGTGATGCGAGGAAGGAGATTGCCTGCACCGTCTTGCCTGCGGTGGGTGGGAGGGAAGGAAGGACAAGGGACGAGGGGAAGGGACGGCAGCAGCAGCAAGTGTTGAGAGAGGCTGTAGGGAGCGATGACTTCTCCTCGTGCAGAGATGCGAGGAAAAAAATCGTCTGCAGTGTCTTGCCTGCTGTGGTTGGGAGGGAACAAGGGACAAGGGACGAGGGAAGGCAGAAGCAGGTGGTGAGCGCGGCACTTAAGAGTGATGGCCTCTCTTCGTGCAGCGGTGCGAGGAAAAAATATCGCCTACATCGCTTTGTCTGTTTCGGTTGGGTAAGAGGGAATGAGGGAGGTGGGACGAGACACGAGGGATGAGGGACGAGGGAAGGGAGCAGCAGGGGGTTGAGGAAATGCAAAGGAAGAGCGCCTGCTGCTCATGGACATAGACTGTACCGCGCCTGGCATTGACTAAACCATCATGAACCCATCCCATCCCATCACAGCCCAGCCGACCCGACGTGACTCACTCACCCACCCCACATGACTCATCCAGCCCCCCAAGTGACTCACCAAGCTCCACCTCATCTGCGAGAATCAGGTGCTGCTTCTGCTGCACATACGAGTCCAAGTGCCTTACACACACAATCAACCCCCCCTCCCCCCTCTCCCCCCACCTGCAGCTCACCGCAACCCCCCCACCCCCCTCCTCAGCGCAACTCACCCAGCCCCATCTCGTCCGCCAGAATCACGTGCTGCTTCTGCTGCCATGCGAACCGCAGCCAGTTGAGCCCCTCCAGCTGGTACGGGTGCAGCGTACCTGGACAGATTCGATTTCAACGTGGGTGGAACAGATGGGGGGCGATGGCAAGAGCTGGAGAGTGATGAAACTGCATACGGGTGCAGCGAACCTGGATTGGTTGGAAGTGAGAGAAAGGCATAGGGGGTGATATGATAGCAGCAGCATGCATGTGGGTGTGTAGTCAAACAGAAGGACGCAGGGCACGACATGGGAGGTCAGAGCAGAAGGTGAGTTAGCTGCATCGAAGAAACATGGGGTCAAAGCAGGGGAAGCAGAGGAGGGCAGGGGAGTGAGGGTGAGCAAACAAGGCGGATGATAACCGAGCAAACAAGGCGGATGATAACCGAGCAAACATGCTTCACCTTGGCTAGCTGGTTCTTGAGAATTCTCAAAAACCGACAGTCATGCTACAATGCAATGCAGTAACAGCGAGGATAACGCATGCTTCACCTTCTGCACTCCCCTCTATGCCTCCTTACCCCCTCCCCCTCCCCCTCCCCCCTCCCCCTCCCCCTCCCCTTCCCCCTCCCCCTCCCCCGCCCACCAGTCCCCAAGCCACAGCCACCATGCACGCAAAAGTACCAACCTTTCAGAAAGCCGGGTGTTTCCTTGAACTCCATTCGCTTCTTCTTCTGCACTCCCCTCTCTGCCTCCTTACCCCCTCCCCCTCCCCCATCCACCAGTCCCCACGCCACTGCCTTGGGTCCTCTCGCCATCATCTCCTCATACTCCTTAAGAGCCTCCTCGAAACCCTCTACAACTGCCTCACCACTCTCCGCCTCTCCTTTCTTTCTCACAACCTTCTTCCCTTTCACATCTCCTCCTGCACTTTTCTTCCCCTTATCACCACCCTCCGCCCCACCCTCCGCCCCATCCTTCGCCCCATCCTTCGCCCCATCCTTCCCCCAACTCTTCAGCCCCTCCTGTGGCTCTTCCTTCGTGCCACTGCCCGGCCCTCTTCCTTTGCTCCGTAAATCCTCCTCTGTCTCCCACGTGGCCTCCTCGTACCCCAGCTCCCGCCACTTAACTAAGTACTCCTGCTGCCCCTTGCGGTTCTTCCTGGAAAAACAGCAGGCCGAGAGAGAAGTTCAAAATCAAGCGAAGGAGTCCAATCTCAAATACAATTTATCCAGAAGCAAGTACAAGCCATGGCTGGAGTAGACAGGGTGACTCTTTCCAAATCACACACAGGAGCAAACCACTCATCACTCACTTGGCATTCACGATTCGCTCCACAACCAGCCAGTCAGGTCGCAGTGTCGGCACCACACCACTCTCCTCCAAGTCCTCCTCCCCGTCCCCAAACAGCGCGCTCTGTGCCGCGGCCTCTACCCTCTGCCGCAGGTAGTTCCTCAGCCGGGCTTTAAGTCCGGGGAAGCTCTTTGCTGCTGCCTCCAAAGCTGTAGCTCCCACCCTGAAAAAAAAATAGGTTAATTGAGGGGTTAAAGGTAGAGCAGTGGAGAAAATGGATGGAGAGCTCTCAGGTCGATTCATGAATAAGCAAGGAAATAGGCGTAGGCATAGTGTACAACGATGTGTAGACAAGTGCGAGAGAGATCCAAGGAGTGTGTGAGAGAGAATGGGGGGTGCGTGCAAGCGATAAAGAAGGGGAGCAAAGGAATCTGAGTGAGAGTTAAGGAGTGTATTTGAGGGAGAAAAAGGGGAGTGCAAGGGAAGTTAGACAAGTGGAACAAGAGAATACCAGGTCACACGGACTTTGTAGTACTTTTGTGTCTCAAATAGCATATCATCATGCAGAGAATAGACAGAAAAGACAATTCTCGAGGCACCTCAAAACAGAAGCATAACATACCAGGTGCAGTGAATGTGGGACTTGTCTCTCCACTCTGATCAAATACTCCTCCACTCGCCTCTTGAGGCGCCCTCATACGTTCTGACACGCCTCAAAAACGTACCAGGTGCAGTGAATGTGGGACTTGTCCCTCCATTTGATCAAATACTCCTCCACTCGCTTCCTGTCACTCTTCCCGCCACTATCCCTACCATCACCATCCCCCTCTCCTGTCCCCCCATCCGCCCCCACCTCCCTCCCTTCACCACTCTTTCCGCCACCCTCTTCATCCCCCTGCTCCACCTCTCTCACGCCCAGAAATCTCTCCACTGCCGCCCAATCGTGGGCCTGCATGCACAGAGAGCGAGCGGGGTGAGGGAGAGAGGGTGGTGAGAGAGGTGTATGGGAAAGGCGTGGTGTGAGAAGAGGAAAATGCGGTGGCACCCTCATCCCCCTGCGCCACCTCTCTCACGCCCAGGAATCGTTCCACTGCCGCCCAGTCATGGCACTGCAAAGAATATCATAAGTGCAAGGAAACGAGTGGGGTGAGAAAGATACGAAAGGAGGAAGACACGCTGGCTCCTCCTTTCCCTCATCCCCCCCCCTGCGCCACCTCTCTCACGCCACGCCCAGGAATCGTTCCACTGCCGACCAATCATGGCCCTGAATGAAGTATTGTAAGTGCACGTTGGGTTGGGAAACGAGTGGGGTGAGAAAGATACAGAGGGAAGAAGATGAAGAGGGAGAACAGGAGGGAGGAAAGATGTGGGGAGGGGAGCGGGGAGTGACATGAGCATCGGTTGAAAGTTACAATCGAGTTTATGAAAAAGACAGATGGATGGGTACACAGAACGAATGCTGACTTGATGTGATGATCATAGAAGGAAAGCCTCAATTGTTTTTGAGAAAGCACATACAGAGGGGTAGGTAGGGCGATTTGATAGAACTAACTAGTATCATAGAAGGGCTGCAGGGACTAATGATAACAGCAACAAGTGAAATTACGCGAAAAACGACGAGGGGAACTATAGGTAGGATAGGTCATGGCTAGTGGTTCAAATTCTTTGGAACAAACACACTGATGCACATGGGCAGCTTAGCTTGCCGTCAGAGGGATTGTCCTTTAGTGGGCTTAGACTCTCTCTCTACCAATGGTAGCAGAACCAGGCTTCCTAAGGGATGCCAGTAAGCAGTGGTGTACACAGCGAGGCAGGCAGAACACATATACTTAAGTAAACACATACATGGCATGGCATGGCATGGCATGGCATGGCATGGCATGGCATGGCATGGCATGGCATGGCATGGCATGGCATGGCATGGCATGGCATGGCATGTGATTCAGCTGAAGCATGACTCACGCATTTGGGGCAGAACCAGGCGCCTTCAGGCACGTGGGAGAGCGGCGGGTGCAGGCAGTACAGATGGTACACAGCGGGGCACGCGTCACACATCAGCAACTCTCCATCGCCCCCGCACACCTCGCACACGTCATCGTCCTCCGCTGCCACCTCAGCTTCCTCTCCTGACACGTCAGCATCCCCCTCAGCCTCCTCGTCTGACACGTCAGCATCCATTTCAGCTGCCTCGCCTGACACGTCAGCTTCCACCTTAGTCGCCTCTTGTTCCTTCCCCTCCTCCCCTCCCCCCCTCCATCCCCTCCATCTCCCCCTCGCCCCTCCCCGCCTTCCTCTCACCCTTCCCCACACTCGCGCTCTCCGCAACCTCCCCGCCCTTTTCCGAAACTCCATTCCCCCCCACCTCCCCACCCTTCCCCGCGGCCGTCACAGCGTCATCCGCCTTTTCCCCCGCTGCTGCTCTCGCAGGCGAGGAGGCACCTGCTTTCACCCTCTCTGATCGCCTCTCCTTCGCCTTTCCACCACCTCTTTTCTCGCCCATTTTTGCATCTTCTTTTCCTGTTTTCACATCTGATTTCGCTGTTTTAGCAGTCTTTCCGCCTCTTCCGCTACCCCCTCCCGCCTCCCCGCGCTCCTGCTCCCGCAGCCACGCTTCGAACGCCGCGTCGTCGTCGTCGTCAGTGTAGACGGGTAGCCGTGAGCTGCGATTCGATCGGTTGGAGAACCGGCGGGATTGCAAGTCCCGCGACATCGCTTATCGGTCGCTTTAGGGACTCCCGGATCGCACGCAATCAGGTTTGGCGATTTCGCAGCCTGAAAATCCGCCGCAATCGCCGCTTAGGGATTAATTGCACGCATAACATGCGAACGTATCAGGTTATTGGACGGGACTGGAGGAGATTAAGGACTACTTATGAATCATGATGGTCTTAGTGGGTAGTACTATGTGATGCCATAGGTCCAGATCTGAAATGTCGTATCATCTTCCTCATCAGGCCTATGGTATGGTGGCGTGCGAAAAAATAGAAACCACATTCCGCCGACTTTCGCTAAAGTGTGGTAACCCTATCGCGCATCCTATGTGGGAACCTTTAGAGTTGTCCTCAGAGGTGGTTCGTGACTGAGTGTGGAGCAGGGGGACCCATGTCATCCATGACATGGCATGAGGTGACATGAAACGGCCTGCCTGGAACACGAATTGCAGGATGGGATGTAACGACCTAGCTGGAATGTTGGAAACTCAAGGCGTTTCAACATGCCTCAACAGCTTGTGTAAGGAGGAACGGGACACTTGGTTGTTCTGGGCCTGGAGCCTATCACTCGGCAGATGTGACCTCCTGAAGCGTTGTCTATTGGGCAGATGAAACTGTGGTGAAATCTCTATTGGAACATGAAACTACCCGTGGAACAAAAAACTGTAGCAATAGAACCCTAAACCCTTCATATTGCCCATCCAACGATTGGGGCTTTAAAATCAATTACACTTGTCCATTCATAACCCGTTTTTCTTTGCAAAGGGTTACCATGAGGAGCCACCGTGACATAGGCGCCCCTGTGTCACGTCATCCATCATGACGATAACACCGAGACTCAACCACGGTTACGCCAACAAACCTTCACGCTATCGAATATCAATTCTCCATTAGTTTTGTAACCTACTCCTTTAGTGACGAAGACCGTCCCCACCAAAGGAACCCGCCATTATTTCCGCCGGATCTGCACGCATACCGCAATCACGCGTCCCGCAATCACGCGTCCCGCAATTACGCATCTCGCGATCAAATCGCACTCACATCAGTCCGTCGCGAGGCTCAGCGCGACGAGTCCGTCTACGAGCTCTACGCGAACCACCCGAACGTTGTTCGACTGAGTAGCGTCGAACCAGTCGACGGTGCACGGCTGGCGAAACCGTCGACAGGTGTTCTACCTGGCACCTACGCAATGTGCCTGGCGACGCGACCATCTTTCTGCACCTACTTGGTAGGTGCACATGCGCGGATGTTCACCTGCCGCTGCGGTGCAACGCTAGCAGAACTACTCTGGTGCAGTGTTGGCAAGCTGCTCTTCTGCTGCGTTGGCAGATTCGCCATGCAGAGGGCTTGCTAGGTGTTGCAATGCCATCCTAGCTATATCGACTTGTCCTCAATGTTCTTTTCAATTTCAAATGAAACTCTTGCAGAATTTCTCTATGAACACAGCAAGTAGAGAGAACGCTAGTTAAACGCCACGATCACTCGCACAACCCCGTTCCTTCTTCCGTAGTTCACTCCCGTTGTGTAGTGACTCTCCGCAGGTACAACGTCATGAGCACCAGCAGTTCTTCATGACGTTGACGCCGCGAGGTCCCAGCACGAGCTTCCACGTGTCGTTGGCAAGAAGACTCCGTATCTCCTCATCCATTGCCGTTTTCAACGCCTTGCCCTTCCAGCTCGCCAATGCCTCCTTGACGATCATCGTCGAGATGTCCCAACGCCGTTCTGGATCGGCATGCATGTCGGGATCCTATTCGAGCAGTGCAGAATTCGCATGCACGTCGTCAAGAAGGGTGTTGGCGAATGTCGGGCAGGCGTTATGCATGCCAGTTCTCTGGAGGCACAGCGGGTGGAATGTCGCACCGCCCGCTTGTCGACCGGGACTTCCACCACGTCGCTCGATGAGCTGTCACCCGACGACTCTCCCATTAACGGCTCCCCTTTGTCGTCGCCGGCTTCTCCAACGACTTCCACAACGTCGCTCGACGAGCCATCATCAAGCCCCCCCATGTCATCGGCTCCCATCTCGACTGCTCCCCTGCCATTGGCTCCCCTTCATCGTCGACTTTCTCGACCCCGTCCATGTCACGTCGGCCTCCAACGATGATGTTGTGCGGAGCCGAAGGCGGCGCGCAAACACTCCCCTCATCGTCGGTGACCGATTTATGCAAGTAAATCGACGTAGGAACGTAGAGAGGAGGTGGGGGAGGTGCGTCATCGGGTAAATCTGGACGTCGTCCTCGGCGGGGAACAACTGAGTCGCCGTCGGCGATGAATCCGTCGTCGGGGAAACTCGATTCCGCGCCGACGTCGGCCCATGGGTTTAGACCTTCTAGATCTCCAATAATACCGTCTCGTAAAATATGGCCTCCACGGTGGTGACGATATGGTTATCAGTCAGGTCGAGCACCTCCCAGCCCTTATTCGCTGACAAGACACCAAGGTGAAGGCCCCAGTGTGCCTTCAGCGCAAGCTTTCCGCCGCGCTGATTCTCCGAGGCCATGAGCAGCATCAGGCAGCCCCACACTCGTGCGAGCACGAGGTCCAGCTTCGCAGCACACAGAAACTCGTGCGTCGTCTTTCCCTAAGGCAGAAAATCCCGTTCGAGTCAGTTGCGCACCCAAACACCTTGCCGCAGGGCGATATGCCACCAGTGATGTTGCACACCCATGTGGAGTAGCATCTCCCGCTCAGCCATTCCGTTCTGTTGCAGCGTGTAGGGGCACGTTAGATCGTGTAGAATACGCTTGTGTTCGACGAAGTCAGTGAAGGTGCGACCGAGGAAATGCCCCCCTCAGTCGGACCGAACAAATTTCACTGTCTTCAGGCTTGGTCGTTCAGCCAATACGATGGTTTCGTTAGTGCGTCGGAAGTTATGTTTTTCACATTTTTTTAGTAATGTTTCTTTAGAATGAGATACATCAGTAGTGCATACATCCATCCACCGGCAACAATTACAACAGCCACAAACGAAATCGAATGCCTCCTCTGACGATGTCGCGCGATGTCAGAGATAACGCGCTCCCACGCGCGATCTCGAAAGCAGTCAGTCAGAACACTATGTATGTGACGATCTAGCAACAGGAGTGGCAGGCTAGGAGCAGCTCAGTAGTAGAGGCGCGGCTCGGCGGTGCTCTTACCAGGGCGGGTGGGTAGAGGTCCGCAAGTGGTGGGGCAGGGTCGAGGCGCGCCGGCAGGGACAGGGCCGCGACAGGGCGGCAGAGGAGAGCCGCGCCTCAGCTGCAGGGCAGGGCCGGGACGGCGGCGGCGGCGGCTGTCACGGCAGCGGCGGCGGCGGCTGCTGCTGTCGGCGGCGGCGGCGGCTGCAGCCCTGGCAGCGGCGGCGGCGGCTGTCACGGCAGCGGCGGCGGCGGCTGCTGCTGTCGGCGGCGGCGGCGGCTGCTGCTGTCGGCGGCGGCGGCTGCGGCCCTGGCTACGGCGGCTGCGGCTGTCACGGCAGCGGCGGCGGCGGCGGCGGCGGCGGCGGCTGCTGCTGTCGGCGGCGGCGGCAGGGCCGTGAAGAGCCGGGGAGGGGCCGTGGAGGGGCCGCGACGAGCCGCGAAGGAGCCGCGGAGGGGCCGTGAAGGAGCCGCGAAGGGCCGCGAAGGGCCGTGGAGGAGCCGCAAAGGGGCTGCTAAGGGCGGCGAAGGGGCCGAGAAGGGCCGCGAGGGGCCGCGAAGGGCGGCGACGAGGCCGAGAAGGGGCCGAGATGGGCCACGAAGGGGCCGCGAGGGGTCGCGAAGAGCGGGGAAGGGGCCGCGAGGGGCCGCGAGGGGCCGCGAAGGGCCGTGAGAGGGGCCGCGAAGGGCCGCGGAGGGGCCGCGAGGGAGCCGCGAAGGGGCCGCGAAGGGCCGTGAGAGGGGGCCGCAACGGGGCCTTAAGAGGGCGCGACGGGCCGCTAAGGGCAGGGGACGCGACGGGAGGGCAGGTACACGGGGCGCGACTAGGGCAGGGGCGAAGCGCGCTCCGAGCAGGTAAAAAAAAGTTTCGATTTCGTGGTGGGCCCTAGGAAACGTTCCCACTAGGGAACCTGCTCTATACCATGTGAAAAGAATGAGGAATGATGGACTAGGAAATGAGTTGGGTACAAATATGTAACCCTCGAAAACTGTACCCCATACTGTCTACCCCACTACAGCCTAGAAAGACTATAGCATAAATGTTTGACAGACGTCGCATGCAAATTCCCAGCGGAGCGTGCCCCATGCTTACCGACCGTCTATGCCATGCTTATGCAGGTTTTTCCGGGCGGCTGTTCTGGCCGAGCTGCGGCGCGATGGTAGGAAATGGGAGTGGGCGAAGCTGTCCAAAGAAGAGGTGCAGGAGAGGCTCGCCGACTGCAATCAACCCCTTCGAGATGTGAGCATCGAACGATTTGCCGTCCTATGGTGCGACATCCTTGCGCGATGCGACTGCCAACCGTGGTGCTCATCCTTGCTCTCTGCACTGTTGTTTGCAGAAAGTGCCCGCCACCGTCCGGGACGGGGACGCTGGCTCCGGTCTGCTAGCAATGAGCGCGTTGCTCTGGGCTGTGAGGCGGATGGATCTCCTGACCAGCGCCCTCAGTCGCAGTGTCACCAGCATGGACAAGGTCTACGTTTCGGGGTTTAAGGGGCTGCGGACTGAGATGGTAGCCTACATCAAGAAGCAAGTGGCGCGCAAACAGGCAGGCCAGGTCGGAGTTGCTGCCGACGCCTGTGACGACGATGGCGAGGAGATCCATTTGGCATTCCAAGCAGTCAGTGTCGCCCCCACTGTTGCTGATGCGCGTGGGACCTCGATCGGAAAGCCGGGAGGCGGCGTCGACGAGGATGATGCGGAGGCAGGAAATGGAGTGACTGGGATCGAGGAGAAGCACCAGGACGAGGTTGTTCATGAGGATGATGATCGGGTCCAGGATCGTGAGGAGGGTCGTGAGGAGGGTTGTGAGGAGTCGGAGTCGGAGTCGGAGTCGGAAGGGGAGGAGGAGGAAGAGGAGCAGGAGAAGCAGGAGGAGGAGGAGGAGCATAAGAAGCAGGAGCAGGAGAAGCAACTAGAGGGGGAGCAGGAGGAAGAGGTGGAGTGGGAGGTGGAAGAACAGGAGGAAGAACTGGAGGTGGAGTATGAAGCTGATGGAGCGGCGAAAACAGGTGGGAGATCGGCGGACGTCGAGAACAAGGAAGGGGAGGGGAAGGGTGCGATGTCAGCGGATCTCGAAAAGGAGAAAGAGGAGGTTGGCGTGGAGGCGGCTCACGGGGCGAGTGGGAAGGTCGTGGTCGGCGATGGGAAGGAAGTTGTAGACCTCGAGGCCGTTGGAGAAGGGGATAATGCCGCGGCCACGAAGCAGACGGGCGTGGAAGTGCCTCACGGGGGGGAGCGGTCTAGGAAGAAGAAGGCGGCGAGCGGCCACTCCGGTTCCACCGCAGCTGGTCGGCAGGCGCGGCTAGACGTCGTCGAGCAGCTGCGAGTGGAGAACAGGCGATTGCGGGCCGACAATGCACGACTGGAACGGCGGCTCGGTGAACAGTCGGGACGGGTCGTCAGCTTGGCGTCGGCGTTAGCTGGGGTCCTCGACAAGCTCAAGGCTTTTACCGCCCAGGTAGCCGATAGCGACCTAAACTCGGCGAAGCGCCTCAAAGACGCCACGTCGACCATGGCGACCACCATCACCGACAACCTCACCGACAACATGGCCAGCGCAGTTGAAGCTGGCAAGTCCTTTGCCGAACTTGCGGCCAAGATGCTGCGGGATCTTTACGACCCCAACGGAAGAATGGCGGTCGAACGCGCAACCGCGGTGAACGCATTGGCCGATCAAGTGACGAATGAGGTGGGTGAGGCGAGGAAGGGTTTGGAGGAGACAGTCTTTAAATACATCGGCGCTGCGCAGACCAATATTGCAGCCGCCATCACTCCCCGCCTCATCGTGCAGCAGCCGTCGCCGCCTATCGCCCTAGCGCAGGCCTTGCCGGAAGAGCTAATGAAGACCTTCAAGGAGGATGTGCTGAAGGCGGTGACAGAGGCGACGCAACAGTCATTTCTCGCCTCCGGATTGAAGATAATGACTGAAGTGGTCGGCACGGTGGCGCCTGCTCGGCGTGGGTCGTCGCCGTCGGCGAACGATGCCGGCCAAGCGCATCCAAAGGAGGCCCAGAAGCAGGGTCAGAAGAGAGGGGGCGGCGGAGGCGGGGGAGACGGAGAAGACGCCACGAGCGTGAAGCGTAGCAAGGGAGCTGGTGGGTCCCGCGTCGCCGGCGAAGGCAGCAAGGGAGCTGGGGACACTGGAGCTGGAGACAGTTCAGCAAAGTGCTGGGGGTCCCGCCGACCAGAACGCCGCCGTGCCAAGTGCTCCGCCTTTGGTCGCCAAGAAGCCACGAGCTCAAGGGAGCGGAGGGAAAGGGTTGAGCCACAAGGAAATCCCCGCCTCCAAAACGGCCCCAGGCGGTGCTGCCAAAATTGGCAACGGGCCGAATGCCAAGATAGCGGAGGCGACAGTGGTTCCTAAACAGCCTCCCGCGGGTGCACGCCCTCCGACCGGCGCGTCTGCTGACGGTCCCGTCTGCCGACAAGGATGGCCGCGCGGGGAAAGGGGCGGCCACTGCGAACGCGCTAAAGGACCAGCTCAGGCTCCTTGCGGGCCACAGGGCTGCTCAACAACCTCCCCCCCCTGTCGATGCACGCCTTGCCGAAACAACAGCTCGCTTTGAAGCCCCCATCGTCGCCGTGCCATCTGCCAGTGTGCCACGTGTAGCGCCGGCCATCGCCGCTCGTACTCCTGCAAACCCAAAGTCTGCTTTGCTGCGCGCCCAGTTGGGCATGCGAGGGTCGAATGCGCCAACTCAGCAGGCAGCTAGCTCTAGCGCGACGCCGACATCGAGGAATGTCGCAGCACCCACTCCCGTGGCGGCTGATGTCGAGAAAGTGGCGGAGAAGGGTGTGCGTGCCGCGCTTGCTACAGGCGGCGGCCCTGTTGAGGAGGTCGCCCTCGACACGGATATCGCTGTCATACAGGCCCACCTGGATGCGGCCAAACCCCGAACACTGGCCATATCGGGCACAGCACATGTGAGTCCCGCCGGTGGTTCAGCGGAGCGTAAAACGACTGCTGATGCTGTCGGCGAGGGAAATGCAAAGCGGAAGGGGAAGGCGGGCTCGTAGAGGAAAACACGGGAGAAGTCGGAGGTGAAGGCGGCGGATAAAGGTGGAGGCGGGAAGGTGATGTCGTTGGAAAGAGAAAGCGGGAGAGAATTAGGAGAAGTCGAGGGTACGTCGACAGGGAGAAAGGGGAAGGAGAAGTCGGTCGGCGAGGCTACGTTGACGGGGAGAAAGGGGAAGGAGAAGGCGGTGGAGAAGAGGAAGGAGAAGGAGGAGGAGGAGGAGGAGGAGGAGGAGGAGGAGGAGGAGGAGGAGGAGGAGGAGGAGGAGGAGGAGGAGGAGGAGGAGGAGCAGGTGGAGGAGGAGGAGGACGAGGAGGAGGAGGAGGTGGAGGAGGAGGAGGAGGAGGAGGACGAGGAGGAGGAGGAGGAGGAGGAGGAGGAGGAGGAGGAGGAGGAGGAGGAGGAGGAGGAGGAGGAGGAGGAGGAGGAGGAGGAGGAGGAGGGGAAGGACAAGGCGAAAGCGAGGAGAGGTCATGGCATCCGCCACGACAGCTCGGGCGACAGGCAAGGGTGGGTCGGCGAGATTAAGGTGCACGGCATTGATCGGTACATCAACAAGTCGCGCGAGAAGATGCAGCTCGCGTATGTGCACTCCATCGCGTACGTCGTCTACGACGGTTTCGTGAGCAAGGTGCTCATGGATGAGCTCACCAGCTTGGACACTGCCGAGTTGGAGAGGTGGAGGAAGGTGTGGGAGGAGGTCAAGATCTTGCCGACAGGGATGTGGACGGTGATGTGGGCCCGGGGTGTGCTCCTTCCAAAGACTCGGTAAGTCGGATACCCTTCGGCCCCAAGTCGAGAGATGGATAATGTCGTTGTCACTTATGTTCGTTCCGTTTGATGTGCTTGCGTGCCGGGCTCAATGATATTCTCGACAAGTATCAAGAGTACAAGAGCTCAGGCGATGCGCTCCACGACGCGCTCTGGCCGGCGATGTGGTTCCCCGTCGAGGGGGTGCCAGAGGAGAAGATGTTGGCGATGATGTCGGCCATCATAGGTCGCGTGTCCATGTGCGTTGCGTATGGGAAGACCGCTGCGAGCGCGTCGAAGAAGGAGGGAGACACGGAGGAGAATACGGCGATGGTGGCATGGGCGTTAGTGGCATCCGCATGCGCCGTCTGGTGTTTCGTCGAGAACGACGACGCCCAGGTGGTCGATGCTGTGGAAGAAGGGAAGGCGGCGGCGCTTATAGCCGGTGCGAGCGAGAAGACCGCCAAAGTATTCGAAACTGTTATGGCGGCGGTGCTGAACGCCGAGATCGCCCAGGACCGCCCCCTAGGGGAGGTCGCCTTCAACGTCGCGCCAGTGTTGCAAAGTCTCGCCCTACAGAGGGTCTATCCGGGGGGGAATGCTGGAGTTGATGCCGAGGTGGTCGCTAGAGTGGCGGTGGAGACCATGGCGTTCTGGGGAATGTGCCTCGTCACCGGCCCGAAACTCAAAAAGAGGAGTATCGCGGTGCCGTGTGACACGCAGATGAAGGCCGATCTTGACAACAGGGGGAGGAAGGGTCAGAGGGGGAAGCAGGGGACGAAGGGGAAGAAGGGCAAGGACAGCACGGGGAAGAAGGGGAGGAAGGGCAAGGACAGCACGGCAGCGTAGTCGGCGTGCGGCTAGAGTGCTAGGTGGTCTGCTTGCTAGGATTCAGTGCTGTTTTGGCCGATGTCGTTTTGTTTTGAATTTCATCTCTCTGATATCTTTGATGCTCGTGATTGTCGACTTTACGTAGGATGTGAAATGATCCATTCAACAATAAGATGAGCCAGAACGCTATGCGTCCATGCACCCCGGCCTCTTGCCAACCATTTTTTTTTTGCGTGGCGTAATGTTCATATGTCGGTGTCCAAATGCATGTCGAGGCCGACGTCATGAGTATACGGGTTGTGTGTGCGACGCCACCGGGTTGCAATGTGAGAAGCACACAATCATGCTACAAGTGGTTGCAATCGACAACTTTTACAATGTCAAAACGGGCGTTTAAGTCGACAACTATAACAGTCTGAAAACTAAGAAAGCTGCATCATCATCTATAACATGCAAAATCCCACAATAACATGTCGCCGAGAGCATTTACACAGTCTTCTTCCGCTTGGTCGACGTCTTGGTCGGAGGCAGCTGCACAGCGTCCTCCCAGGCCATGTCGGCCAACGTCATCTTCATCTGCTCCTTCCAGGTGTCCGGGAACAGCTCGGCGACCCACTTTTCCGGCTTCAGCCCGCGAGCCACGAACGCACAGGCGACACGAAGCTTGGAAACTTCCCTTGACGCCCTTACCCGGCTCGGAGTACGTCGCTACGGTGTCCGCGTTGAGCACAGTGAGGGCATCCGAGAAGGTCCCAATGCCACGCGCCGCGATCTTGTTAAAGGACACATCCAGAATTACCGTGTCGGCCCCAAAACTGTCACCACTTTCGTGTGATTGGTCGAGGGTTTTGAGTGGGTTTTTGACGCGATTGGTTCTAGATTTCCCCACCGAACCTGTCTCTGGGGTTTCCCGAACCTACAATTTTTTCGTTGACTTCGTTGTGTAATTCGGGGTTTGGCCTTTAAGCGCAGCGACGACGGCTTCTGTGTCGGCCTCGCCGTCGCTCCGGCGAAGATGGCGCACTGCATCAATGAGCTTCATCATGCGGCGCACCCTCTTCCCGAGTGCTCCCTGCGTCGCGCCTTTGAGGAGGGTGTGGCGGTCGACGAATCCCGGCTTTGCGAACCTGTCGCACAGACGACGTATGTCCTCTGCGCTGGTGCAGGAGGTCCAGAGGCGCCACGCGTCCCTCACGGTCGTTGCATCCCGCCAAGGCTGCACCACGTTGAGCTCGTAACTAGCCTCTTCGACCGTCTGTGGGGGTTTCGGGGGTTTCTTGGCTCCGGCACCCGAACTTGCCGAGTCCGCGGATGGCGACTGCTCGTTCGCAGATGGCAGCGCCTCTGGGATCCTCCTTGCTTCTGAGACGCGGAGTGCCTCGGTGAGACGGGTTATCTCGGCCGTCAGCGCCGCGATGGTGGCATCGCGCTTCTCGATATCCTCTTCGAGGTCAATCTTCTGGACCGCTGACCGTTCCCTCTCGTACTTCAGGGTCTCGGTGAGCGACATGACCGCATGTTCGGCGTCCATGCGGACAGATATCTCCTGCAATGGTCGGCGATTGACGTTGAATGTGAAGGGTTGTTGCGTTCACTAGGCTTAGGGCGACGTCGACTTGATTAATGGCTCACCTCAGGCTGAATGAGGGTCGGGTCTCGGCGCTTTTTTATCGTCTCGGTGTCGACCTTCTCGACCCTCTTCGCCCAGTGCTGGAAGAGGGGAATCCTGCAGAGCTTGGAATATTGGACGTACGGATGCCAAGGGGTGCGGACGAGTTTCACAGTGACGTCTTCGGCGACGATGCGGCGCAACATCTGGAGGGTACGCCAGAAATGCACGGCGGCGAAGTCAGCCTCAGACCCCTTTTTAGCGAGTTCTTCCGCCTGCAATTTGACAACAGAAGCGAGTGATTGCAGTCGGTCGGTCGGACGATACTATACGTAACGTTGGCGGCGTCGATTAAAATACCTTCTTAAGCAGGTCGTCAACGCCAGGGAAGATGTGCTCGGCGATGAGCTCAAGGAGTTCGTCGGAGGGTGGCACCCTACTGCAACCCAAGAAGTAGTCTTGTTTGGCACCCGAATAGCCGGCCTTCTTCATCACCACGCCGACGGGAATGGCTGTGATGTAAGCTCGAGTCATCTTGTCGATCGCCCAGTGGCCCAGCTCGGCTATCTCGGCGCGATACGTACCGTCGATGGCCAGCTCCTGCGCCCTGCTTGCTCGAGCGGCGTGGACGTTCCGCTTGCAGAACACCCCATTCGTCTTCCACATCTGCCTCGTCCATTGCTGGTGGCTGGCAGCAGGGAGTTCATTTTGCTCCTCGTCGTTGCGGGCGAAGAACATGTGCTTCTTGTACCAGCGCTCGCGCGTGCTGGTGTCCACCGGCGGAATGAGGTCGACGCCATGAAACTGGCCGATCCGGTCGAGGATGAAGTGCAGCCACAGGCCGGTCTCGCCGACGGCGCACAACTCCGCTTCGAGGTGCCACGCCGCGTAGCTCTGCTGAATAAGCACATCCTTGGATGTCTTCGAGTTCCGCGCGGCGATCACCATGACGACCGGCTGGTTTTCCGGGTTCACCGACGAGGTGCTAGCAAGTCGGTACAAGAAGATGTCTGGGAGTGTGATCTCGCGGATGCTGGCCCCACGTAGGTGACTGTGGTGGGAGAGTAGCGTGAGCACCCTGACGAGAAGAAACCTCCACAGCGTCTGCGAAGGAGTGGTTGCCCGCGGGCTCCACGCCGACGCCGCCCAGGTAGGCAGCACCCTCATCATGATCTGGCGGAACTGTTCGGCGGTGTATGTGTCGCCGATGGTGTCGCGCCGACGGTCTGCGCAATTCCTGTCAACAAAGCAATAAGAAAAGACGAGTTTACGTCGTCGACCACAAATCAATGGCTACAATACTCGGCGGTGTATGCCAACTTACCTGACGTCACTCTGATTTTTGGTGCGGACCATGACCCGCACCTCCGACCGTACCACCGTGATTTCCCGCATGATGCCCAACTCCTTCTCCTTGTAGAGCGTCGCCTCCACCCTCGCCGCCATCTGGCAGGCCTTGATGCGGCCGAGGATCATGTGCACCGTGTTCGCTTTCACCGATGCGTTCGACTCGACGTCGATCTTGTACTTGATGTAGGCGCGCAGTCGCGTTTCAGTGACACGCGGGCCGTGCAGCCAGATGTACTTACGCCGGACCACCTTCTCGTTGTCCCAATCCTTGCTCTTGTTGTAGTGGATCCAGTGCCCGATTTCGTCGACGTGCCTCGTTCTTTCCTCACCCGGAAGCTTGTCGCGTATTCCTTTCAGCATCTTCGCCGCCCACCTCTTGTAGTGGTAAATCCAAGAGGTGTACAGCTTGAGCGTGCTCTTAGCCTCCAGGGTTTTTAGGTGGCGCATTGCTTCCATCACGAGTACGTCGACACACGCGTAGACCATATCTTCCTCGACGAAGTCGGCCGCCTTCCACTGTTCTCGTGGCACCGCCGTGTTTAACAGGTCCTCAAGCTCGTCCTCGTTCAACAGATCCTCTATGAACGCACGTTCCCCCCTGAGCTTCTCTTCCAACGTACGCGGACCTGCGCCACGTCGAGGCCGTGGGTCTTCTTCGTCGTCATCGTTGCTGGACGATGACGCGTCGTCACATTCCTCATCCTGGTCGCCCGCTCCGTCCGGCACCGACGACGGTCCGGCCTCATCGGTGCCGACGATTTGCGTGGTTTCGTAAATTCCCCTATAGGCGCGGGCGGAATGTCCTTGGTGAACTCTCCTACCGGGATTTGGGTCGAGATCGTAAAGCAGCGGCAGGGTCGACGAGGGGTTACTGGTCGGTGTACGCTTCACCGGTCGTCCGTCTCCCCCATGGCTCGCAGGGGTAGGACCGTCTGTCATGTCGACGTCGGCCATGAGATTTTAGGCATTTGGTCTACCGTGAACGTGGATCGTGGCGGCCCAGTGCAGGCGGTACTGCGTCCCATTGGCGGTGTTTATTTGATGCGCTTCGCGGGCGTCAAGCTCGGCGGCAATATCCGCCAGTGCCAGTTGTGCTTTAATGTCGGCGTCTACCGTGTCGACGGTGGGTTGGTTGGAGTGCGGCTGTGTCGCGCTAGACCTCGTGGTCGGCGGTATCATACCGGTCGGTCTCCTAAACAATTATCTGCGACGTCTCGTATCAGTCTCTCTGGCTCTTGTGGCGACGCCGACTACGACGTCTGGTCGGCGGACCGACTGTCCTGCACGCGTGGAGTGCGAAAGGGAGTAGAAAAAACTAAGTGCCAGAAAATGGGTGGAACGAACCCTTAATGGAAGGCAGAATGAGCGACCTTCAGTGGGACCCCAGATGGGTATGGTCGTGGGCGACTCCGCACCTGCCGCGCTCCACGCAACTCCCTGTGCAGGACGCCGCTATACATGTACCCTCGTGCGGCGGCGCCGTGTCCGACGTGCCACCAGCCATGCATGGCTGCTTGCCAAAAGCGCTTCGCCCAGGAAGCGCTTTTCATGGCTGTTACACGCAGGGTCGTGCGTGCGCTATGTGGCGTGGTCCTAATCTTGGTGCATCGCTCCTAGAATACTGTGATGGAGAATTCCCGCGCAGTAGTTCGAGGGCGTTAGGCACTGACGCGTGGCACCCCAAAGATGCTCGTGTGGTCGACGCCGACATTCCCTCCGCCTGAACATCCATTGCACCTAGCCTGAGAAGGGGACGGTCGCGATGTTGCCTTGAGCATCTGGGTAACCGTGGGAAGGAGGCCGCGTGGTATGCACCGACCTGGCCTCGGTTCGGCGCGAATATTTCCCACGCAAAGCACCCCGTCTCAACAGGTGCCGCGTGGACCCGTCGTGGCTGTAGTGGCAGACCTCGGTGGCCCCGCCAAGTTGGGGACGATCTCGGACGTCCCTTTGTTGTCGCGTGGCGTTAATCGCGGGTCGACGTGCCGAGCTGGTTTTTTGCCATGCGCTGAGACGTACTTCTCGGGATTGTCTCAGCGCAAACCTAGGTCGTCAGGTCGTCGTCAATCCCGAGGGCTCGCTAGCACTGAGTGTCAGAATATGTTGTTTGTGTAGCCTGCAGTGGGGTACTCTATAGTGAGTACAGCCCCTTAGGGTTTGCTATTTGTATCCTGCTGCTTGCTAGTTCAATCATTCCTTCTCAATTCTGTTCCTGCACACAATCCTAGCTCGTACTTGGCTCCTCGTTACTAGTCCTACTGTGGCCTAGGCTACTAAGCCTAGGCCGTACTCCTACTACTTCTGACATGGTATCAGAGCAGGTCGATCCCCTTGGGTCGATCCTGTGGGTGGGCCCACCACCTCACTGCTTCCGCTGCTACTGCTACTCTGTGTGTTGCACGCCCCATGGCGTGCGACGGATTTTTCATCCCGCCGCGCGCTCGAAGCGTGCGGCGGTTTTCTGCCCGCCGTGCGCCCCGAGGCGCGCGGCGGTTTTCTGCCCGCCGTGCGCCCCGAGGCGCGCGGCGGTTTTCTGCCCGCCGTGCGCCCCGAGGCGCGCGGCGGCTTTCTGCCCCGTCACTCCGCGCGTCGCTCCCGGGAGGCGCTGCGACGGGCGACGGGGACCCGCGCGTCGCCCCCCGTCGCCCGTCGCGGCCTGCGCGACCTGCGTAGGGCCCGCGCGCGGCCCGTACAGCCTGCGCGCGGCCCGTACGGGCTGCGCCAGGCCCGCGCGCGGCCCGTACGGGCTGCGCCAGGCCTGCGCGCGGCCCGTACGGGCAGCGCCAGGCCCGCGCGCGGCCCGTACGGACTGCGCCAGGCCAGGGCGCGCCTCGGGCCGCCCGCACGCGGTTCGTACGGGCTGCGCCAGGCCCGTGGGCGCCCTGTTTTCTCTGCCCCTGCGCTGCCCGCTGTCCCCCGTGCTTCTGACGGCGCCCCACCCCTGCTGCTGCCCGTTCTCCTGAATTAGGGTTTGGGGGTGGGGGGTATGGGGGTGCAGTTTCTGTGCGTCGTCCCCTACTCCTCCTCCTCCTCCGTCTCCCAGTGCTGCAGCTGCCGCTGAGGGGGGTGGGTGTGTGGGAGCCGAAGGAGTGGTACTAGGGGGGTGACGTGCAAGTGGAGTTAGGAGTGAAGCAGTGGGTGTGTGGGGGGTGTTGTCAGAATGTTATGCTCTAGCCTGTAGTGGGGTGCTCTATAGCGAGTACAACCCTTCTAGGGTTTGCTATTTGTATCCTCATTCCTGCTAGTGAACTCCCTCTTTGCCTAAACTGTTTCTTGCCTAGCTAGGGCTTTCCTAGCTATGGCGCCTTCTTCTACTGCTTATCTTGACATGGTATTAGAGCGATATGCTCCTGGCCTGTGGGTCCCACCTCACTGCTTCCGCTGCTACTGCTACTCTCTGTGTTGCACGCCCCGTGGCGTGCAACGGATTTTTCATCCCGCCACGCGCTCTGAGCGTGCGGCGGTTTTCTGCCCGCCGTGCGCCCCGAGGCGCGCGGCGGTTTTCTGCCCGCCGTGCGCCCCGAGGCGCGCGGCGGTTCTCTGCCCGCCGTGCGCCCCGAGGCGCGCGGCGGGTTTCTGCCCCGTCACGCAGCGCGTCGCTCCCGGGAGGCGCTGCGACGGGCGACGGGGACCCGCGCGTCGCCCCCCGTCACCCGTCGTGGCCTGTGCGTGGCCCGTACAGCCTGCGCGCGGCCCGTACGGGCTGCGCCAGGCCCGCGCGCGGCCAGTACGGGCTGCGCCAGGCCCGCGCGCGGCCCGTACGGGCTGCGCCAGGCCCGCGCGCGGCTCGGGCCGCCTGCGCGCGGTTCGGGCGGCTGTGCCAGGCCCGTGGGCGGCCCGTTCTTCGCTGCCCCTGCGCTGCCCTCTGTCCCCCGTGCTTCTGATGGCGCCCCACCCCTGCTACTGCCCGTTCTCCTGAATTAGGGTTTGGGGGTGGGGGGCATGGGGGTGCAGCTTCTGTGTGCCGTCCCCTGCTCCTCCTCCTCCTCCGTCTCCCAGTGCTGCAGCTGCCGCTGAGGGGGGTGGACCTGTTGGAGCCGTCGGAGTGGTACTAAGGGGGGTGAAGGGGGAGTGGAGCTAGGGGTGAAGCAGGGGGTGTGTGTCAGGGGGGGTGGGACTGTTTGGGGAGGTTGAACGAAGGTTGCCGTCGTGTCGCCAGCAGCACCTGTAGTCCGGGGAGTTGCTCCGGTAGCCCAGTCGCAGCCACCTGTGCCAGTCGCCCGTGGGTCCGTTGCTCGTCTGCCGCTACTTTTAGCCGCGGGGCCAGTTACTCCAGTAGTCCGGAGCGCTGTTCCGGTAGCCGCTGTGCCAGTGTGCCTCCTGTTGCCCGTGTGTCTGCAGCTTCAGTCGTCGCCTCCTATCTCCTCTCCTCTTACAGTCTCGCCTCCTCCTCCTCACTTGCCCTCTGCGATAGCCTCTAGCTTTGCTCATAATTGTGAACTTTAAACTATTGCTTCTTGTACTTGTGCTCAGAATGTGTGGTGACATTGTGATCCACCCTGAGCTTGTTCTGTTTTGCTTGCTCTGCTGATTACACCCCACTTTGGCTATGGGGGTGTGTCAGAATGTTATGCTCTAGCCTGTAGTGGGGTGCTCTATAGCGAGTACAACCCTTCTAGGGTTTGCTATTTGTATCCTCATTCCTGCTAGTGAACTCCCTCTTTGCCTAAACTGTTTCTTGCCTAGCTAGGGCTTTCCTAGCTATGGCGCCTTCTTCTACTGCTTATCTTCACAGGTGTGTGGGACAGTTGGAGGAGGTTGAGCGGAGGCTGCTGTCTTGTCGTCCGCAGCACCTGTAGTCCGGGGCGCACTGTCCTGGTAGCCCAGAGAGTCTGCTGCGCCTGTCGCCCGAGGGTCCGTTGCTCCTGTAGCTCGTCGTAGCCCGTGAGCCAGTTACTCCAGTAGTCCGGGGCGCACTGTCCCGGTAGCCACTGTGCCAGCAGCTCCTGTTGCCCGTGTGTCTGCAGCTTCAGCCGCCGTCTCTCATCTTCTCTCCTCTCACAGTCCCTCCTCCTCCTCACTTGCCCGCTGTGATTACCTCTAGCTTTGCTTCTTATTGTGAACTCCTGCTATACCTGCTCATTGTGCTGATTACACCCCACTTTGGCTATGGGGGTGTGTCAGAATGTTGTATTTGTCTAGCCTGCAGTGGGGTACTCTATAGCGAGTACAGCCCAATCTAGGGTTTCCTATATGTACTCAACTGCTTGCTAGTGAACCTCCTCCTTTCTTCATTCTTACTTTCTACTGCTAGTTCTGACACTGAGCCCAGCCTGTTCGCCCAAGCTTTCCACGCGGAGGTCGTCGGGTGTTTGTCAACCCCGAGGGGGGACGTTGTCCTTTCTCTACCGCGAAATTGGGCGGCCTTTATTGTCGGCTGAGCTATACTATGCTGACAGTCCCACCCCATCCTGTCGGTTCTGCCGCACCCCGGAATCGGTCGACGGCACAAAAATATCGCAATGCTGTCCCATCCCGTCTGTTTCCGAATTGTCTATACTTGATGCCTGTTTGAGCCACTCCCGGTTGCCTTGTGAATGGGGCTTATAAGCTGTAACGTGCATTTCGCAAAAGTTTCGTCAATTCGCAGCTACACAAGATGCCCAACCCCTGCGCGCAAATTTGCCGTGCACGCGGCGGAAACTCTGCACACGTGTATTTTGCGCCAGCCAGTTGCACCCATGTACAAGCACCTCAACCAATACGAACCACAGAAATTGAAGTTTGACCGAAGAGACTGAAGTCAAACGGTCAACGGGGAGTTACAAAATGTTTTATAAGCCCTTTTTGCTAAGTGTGAATTGACGAAAGCCCATCGAAATACAAGAATCACTTAAAACCGGGGTTCCAAGAGTTTCGAAGTTAGGAAGGTTGCTTGGGGGAAGGGACGTGAGTGGCGCGCGAACCAGGGTGGTGTCGAGTTTTGTGGTTGCGGATCGCAGAGCCTGAGTACCTCGCATCCGTAACCAGATCTTGAATGCAACTATAGGAATTGATTCGCAACAATTTCGGACGGCCTTCGAAATTGTGAGCGAAATTGTCACTGCTATCGTTCTCGTCAGTACAGCAATTTCGCTTGACGAAATTTGTTTCGACAGTTGGCGAAGCGAGCGAGCATCTGCTCGGTCACACCCAACCAAAGTTAGGAAGGTTGAGGCACTTTTGGGCTGTTTGGGACTCCGGTTTTAAGAGCCCTCTTCACAAGGCAACCTTGGCTTAGTCAAACGGGCATCATGTGTAGCTAAAAAGGATTCGCATGTGCTTATATAAAGGATCTGTAACCTTATCCGTTGACATTTTGACTTCTCTCTTCAGTTTGACTTCGGTCTGTTCGTTACTATTGGTTCATAACCACGCGACGCGCTTGTAACGTGGGTGCAACAGGCTGGGGAAAATACCTCGGGTGCAGCGTTTCCATCCGGTGCAGAGCAAATTCGCGTGCATGGGGTGGGCATCACCTGGGACAGGAATGCTGCTAGTGCAGGACAGCACGTCAGAGAATAGAGTTATTTGACTAAATTTTTCTCGGCAACTCCATCCAGCTCAGTCTCTTTATCATTCCCACCAGTCTATCAGCAATGGCTGATTTCTTGAACCAGACAGTTGGTGCCACAAGCGCTGCGCCAATGTCGTTCGAGGCGACTGACATCTTGAGCCTGGAGTCCTCTCCGGTCGACCGCCTTTCGGACGACATACTCGGTCGCATCTTCAGCAACGTCGAGCCCGTCCCTCATGGCGAGTGGGACGGTTAGGGACGGGCACCTAATCGGTAACCTGACCGAGTGCAATTTCAGCTACATCCGTAACCTGCACCTAATCTCTCCCAGCCACCCGTCGGCAAACGGCGCGCCGATTCTTCTCATGATCTCACCGGGATCTCTAGCTCAGAATCTGATGAGATTGACGGTAGTTACGCCCTCGTCTGTCGCCGATGGTACCGTGTCGCCTGTGCGACCCGCTCGCACGTCGCACTGTCGCCTGAGCGACGGCTGTGCACCCGGCGATTCTTGAAGGGCGTCGCTTCGTTCCCGTCGCTGACGTCAATCGTTCTGCCAGATGGCAGTCTCTCATTGGCCAACGACCACCTCCTCTCTCAATTAGCTGCCACGTGTCCATCGCTTAGTCACTTCCGTCTCGGCAACATGGCCGAGCCGGTTACCATTCGCGGCAGGCGCGTCGCGTCCACGTCATCTCGTCCTGACCACCGCGCCGCCTTCACTGAAGCCGGGCTGGAGTCGCTTTTCTCTTCCTGCCCGGGGCTCGATTCCCTGGAGCTGCACTGCCCGCCAAATCTGACCGCTCTTCCTCTGTCAATCTGCGGGTTGACTCGCTTGACGGCGTTAAAAAACACCGCTCGGGGACTGAAACGCCTTCCTGACGGATTCCGTCAACTCTCCGCTCTCGTCAGTCTATTCATTGACTCAGAAGCCCTGGAGAAGCTTCCAGCCGGCTTCGCGACGGATATCGACAAAATTGTAAAGACTTCCATCCCATTAATCGATTCGAGCATCTCAGATTCGAATGCAGCAGATGCATCGGAGATTGTCGCTCGTCGGAACAGTAGCGTACTGCCTCAGGATAATAACTCGTCGCTGGTTACTTCGCTCGCCTCCATCTCCCCCGCGCTTCCCCTCCCCACACTCTCCGCCCTCCGCCACCTCTCCCTCGACCGCTGCCGCGCTCCCCGCATCCCTCCCCGCCGCACTCCCCCTTCTTGAAACCCCAGAGCTGCGCGAATGCGCCTTGCTTTCAGCCGTCCCCGCCTACATCCCCGCGCGCTTCCGCCGCCTCCGCGCGCTCACGCTCGCCTACCTCCCCTCGCTGCGCACCCCCCTCTCCGCGCTCCTCTCCGCATCCCGCCCGTCTGCTCCCGGCGCAGCGGAAAACGGCAATTCCGGGGCATTCTCGGAAGGAGCGAACGCGGAAGCTTATACCGCGCCAGCTTGTAAGGAGGATGGAGCGGAGAGCACGGTAGGACTGGACCGGTTGGAGCTTCTGGGGTGGAAGCAGATGCAGGAGATTCCCGCTTAAGCTCTCACCTCTCTCTCCGCCTCTCTCACTCACCTCACCATTTCCAACTGCCCCACCCTCTCCTCCCTCCTGAACGAGCTTTTCCATCTGCCCCACCTCCGCTCCCTCACTCTCTCCTTCCTCTCATCACCTCCCTCCCTGCCTCCCTCCACCTCCTCTCCCACTCACTGCACCATCTGGAGATTTCCTTGTGTGATTCGCTGCAGAGTCCCCCCGCGTCCCTCACTGCGCTCTCCGCCCTGTGCTCCTTGCATCTCGTCGCCTGTGGCGCCCTCACCCGCCTGCCGTCCCCGCCTGTGGCGTTGCAAACCATTGCGTATGCGGAAACAGGTTGGGGGAATGGCGGCAGCGGCATCCGTGGCAGCAGCAGCACCACCACCACCCCCACCAACACCACCACTCAGGCGCCCCTCCCCCTCTTGCCATCGCTCACCTGCCTGCGCGCCTCTCACTGCGCGCGCCTCACCGCGCTGACTCGTGCATGGATGCACCTGCCGTCACTACAGGAGCTGATCCTGAACGATAATGGCCAAATGGAGTCACTCTTTGACGGGGATAACTGTGACAGATCTCCCGCCTCCCATCATGACACCGTTCACTGTGACACTCTGCAGTCTGACACTGCTCCTCCATTCCCCCCTCCTCTCCCCTCTTTGCTTTCTCTCACTGTCTCCAACTGTCCTCGCATCTCCCGCCTCCCTGCCTTCCTCTCCTGCTCCCCCACTCTCCTCCAATTGAAGCTGCACGGCCTCTCTGATCTCACTCTCCTCCCATTTCACAATCCCTCCAATGCTGATGTAACGGGTGTGGCTCTAACGGGTACAGATGAGGTAACTGGCGTTGTTGTAACCACCACGGCCGCTGTTACCAGTCCTGGTTTTGTCCCCGGCGTAGACGTTGCACAGGGCAGTGCTGGCGCGGCTGCTGCTGCTGCTGCTGCTGCTGGGTTGAGAGTGTTTGGAGAGTCAGAGGTGATGAGACCATCAGTGTCGCTTCACATTGACTTGAAGGACAACACGCACATCACACTCCTCCCTCACTCACTCTTATACCCCCCCTACCTCGCCACCCTCACTCTCTCAAACCTCTCACATGTCGCCTACATCCCCCACTCCCTCTCCCTCCTCGCTCCCTCCCTCACTCACTTGCACATCAGCCACTGCCCCAGGAGAAGAGGTGGAGGAGGAGGGGAATGGAGAAGGGGAGGGGGAGAGGGGATGGGAGGGAAAGGATGGGGAACGGGATGAGGACGGGGAGGGAAAGGGGGAAGTGGGAGAGAGGGAAGTGAGAAAAGGGGAAGTGGGCGAGGTGGGAAATGTGGAAGATAGGAAGCAGTGTCATGGCATGGCTGCCATGTACTCGTTAGAAGCAACCTCAATAACAGAGTCTCTGACTCACATGCCGTCAACCATCAGCCTGCTACCTCATCTCACCTCACTCCACCTGTCTCAACTCAACAGCCTCGTCACGCTACCACCCTCTCTTCCCTTAGCCCCCTCCCTCACCTCCCTCACTCTCTCCTCATGTGATCGCCTCTCGTCCCTCCCCCCAACCTTTGGGCTCTTGTCCAGCCTCCAGGCCTTGAAACTTTCCAGCCTGCCGGGTCTCGCTTCCCTGCCTGATTCTTTTGGGCTGCTGCCCAACCTAGAGCAATTTACCCTGCACGACTGCTGCCTGCTGCGCTGCCTGCCTGACTCGTTCCCGCACCTCTCTAGATTGGCTCAGCTCAGCATAACGGACTGTGGAAAACTCGAGCAGTTACCAGTCAATGCAGGGTTACTCTCATCTTTGGAATGGTTAGAGCTGGAGAGGCTGCCAAATTTTTCCGAGCTGCCCGAGTCGATGAGCCAGCTGCCCAGGCTTTGGCAAGCAGAGATTCGGGGATGCAAGGGTGTGAAAGGCGTTCCAGAGTGGTTAAGGGCGATGCCGGAGGTGGACGTTGTTGTAGCATAAGTGGTGTGCTGATTGATTTGGGTTATATGAGGGAATGGAGTCCCTATATATGCTATGTGTTCCAAACCAATCGGGAAAACTGTTTGCTTCTTGTTGTCCACCTTCCCATGTACGGTGCGGCAGTGCTCAGTATTATTGCATTATTTCTTGGCTTTTTGCATCTATTGTACCACCTACCACTATTTAATTTCAGCCATTGATGTTTGCCACTACATTTTCTCTTTAACAGTACCGCTATTTTTGCTTCAATAGTTCCACCATCACAACGCTCTCTCTAGTTGCAATTCTAGTCAGCTCACTCCGTTGCCTCAAATATAGCAAACAGAAGTGCGTGGCTCTGACGATGTAGGGGGTAGTACAGTAGGGAGTATGAAATCGGAAATTTTCCCTCCGCCACTCGCTACTCTCGTTCGTTCGCTACAGATGCATTCTTGAAGAATTTTTTATTTGACGAATTCAATACCACGTCGATTCTATGGCTTCCGCTCATCGTCTCGGCCCTCCGAGGACTATTATCAGCATCGTGTCGCCCTTAGCCTCGTGTACCTCGTCGGCATTGCAGGCTCGGCAATTCCCGCGGTTCGACTCCAGCGCTTGCCGCCAACGACAACGGTCTAATCGTTTCGGTAATGGCGCGGTGCACTGTGAACCCGAGTAGGTTCAAATTCATTGAATCTAGACGTCTTGAAGGTACAGAGAGTGCGCTTACGAGGCACGGGGAAATGTGAAAACGGCGCGCGGAAATTGCGCAACAATCTGCATCAGAGCTTGCGAAATGTCGAAACTCCCCGCCAGAGGTCGCGCACCAGCTGTGCGGCGGAAGGGGAAGGGGGAGGGGGAGCTGTTGCAGCAGTGGAGACTGCGCAGACTGCGCGGAAGGGCGGGGGAGTGAGCAGGCGCGCAACGGAAACTATCACCGCGAGTAAAGTTTCCGCCGAGGGGGACACCGCGCGCGCATTCGGTCCGCGGAGAAGCAGAGGCGGAGGAGGCGGGAGTGGGGAAGACGGAGAGGCGGAAATTGGCGAAGCAATCAGCGCAACCTCCCCCCTTTCCCCCATTATCGCGGTTGACGAGTTTTTCTCCATTCCCTCGCTCGCGCTTCCACCTGCCCCCCCCCGGACGCGCGCTTGAGTCCCTAGTGTTCATGCTGGCGGAAGGGGGAAAGGCGGAGGACGAGGCGGAGTGGGGGGAAGAGGCGGAAGATTGGGGGGAGATTGACTGGGGGGAAGAAGGGGAGTGGAACGCGGGAGGGGGAGGGCAAGCGCAGGGGCGCGGAATCGAAGTATTTTGGGCCTCAGACGTTAAAATCTTGCGGGAGGATGATGAAATGCTCTCCCCCGCCTCCTCTTCCGCCCCCTCTTCCCCCTCCCCCCCCACTTCCGCCTCTTCCGCCTCTTCCGCTCCCCTCCCTCCCCCACCCCCCCATCTGGTCCTCTCTCACCTCCGCTCCGCCGCTCTTGCGCCCTGCGTGCTCCTTCCCGCCGCCCCTGCCCCCCCTGGTCCGGGGGAAGCGGGGGAGGGGGGAAGCGGGGGGGAGGAGGGGGGGAGGAGGAGGGCGGAGAGGGAGGCGCAAGGGTCGGGGGCAGCGCAGGTTCGGGTGGTGGCTGGGCGGTTTAGGGACGTGTGCACTCCTCCGCCACTCTCACACTTCGTCAGTCCCGCTCTCGCTGTCTCACTCCCTTCCTTAGTTTGTTTCTCCCTTTCTGTTTCTTATAATTTCCACTCCCCTCTCTCACTGTCCACCCATCCCTCGACACATCACTCCTTCCCTCACTTACCACTCCTCTCTCTTCTCTTTTCCTCACTCTCGTCCTGTCATCTGCACTCTAACCCATCGAACTCTTGGCCAATGTAACCCCGCTCACACATTCACCCCCCTTTTCACCTTCATCCTAACGTCACCAGCCCTCGCAGACCCTTCAGCCTCTCTCCACCCCCTCAACTCCCAAAAGTTTTCCTTTCACATCCTCCCTCCATTTCTCTACCCGTTTCTACCCCCTCCACTTACTCCTTTCCTTTCCACCCAATCTTTCTTCCCGTCTTACCCCCTCCCTTCCTCCTCCCTTGCACGACTTTGTTTTAGTACCTAATGAACTTCCCCCTGCCCTTTCCACCACCCCCCAGCTCATGCTGCACGTGTACATGCGGCCAGGGACAGCTGTCAACATCCCATTGGCCTCCACCCAGTCCGCCCTCATATACGTCCTAGAGGTGTGCCGGCCTGGATCGTATGTCTGAGATTGAGAGGTCATTGGGCTGCCTGGATTTGAAGTGCGAAGCTGTTTCTCCTGCTTCTGTGTGCCCGTGTTTCGTTGTTGTGACATGTACGTTCTCAGATCAAGCCGACAGGTTCCGTACGCCATCTCTCCAATAAAGCACTGTCACAACAACTGGTCCTCGTTCCACCTTGTGCCAATCCTGCTCACGTCCCCGTTCGTGCTTCTTCGCTGCTGCTTGTCCTTACTGCCACTGTCCTCCTACTGCCCCCCCCCCCCCTCCTCCCCCCTCCACCCATTCGCACGCCTGCTGTCCGTTCCACCACCACCTCATTCCCACTCACAGGGCGTGGCGATGTTTGGCCCGCGAGGAGAAGCCGTATTTCAAAACGAGGGGCACTCCCTGCTCTTCCCTGCAGCACCAAGTGCCACGTCAGCTGCCACGTCAGATGCCGCGTCAGACATGGTGAAGGGAACAGATTCCACAGAGGGTGGTGTAGCAGGCGTGGCAGCAGGGGAAGATGAGGAGGATTGGATTCGGGTGGAGTCACACAGCTGGGGAGGCGTAGAGTTTGTGCTTGTGGCTGGGCAAAGAGAGTAGGTGCTGTGTCCAATCCAATGTCTTGTGACATGCACTGAGCCAACTGTTGTCGTGATTGAATATCAGTCTCGAATAAGTGAACCTGGCAGGTGGAAACAGGCGGATTGCAATGTGAATAACGTGTATGTCATATCTATGTGCAAGCACATGATGATGCTGGTTAGCAACATATGGTAAAAGAATGATTGTAAAAGGTGAGGTACAATGATTTTTTTTCATCACCAGCATCCTCTCTTACGCAGACGATCTGTTCCGCAAGCGAGGATGCCAGTATGTTGAAACGGATATCCAAAAACTCGAAATTCAAATTCGTGCCGCGCGTTCAAACCAAGGAACTTCTCTTTGCAATGCAACCAATTATGCGTTGATGGCCTACTGACAAACTCTCAATCTCAATTCCTCGAGTAGATTCTCTCGCACGACTTTCTCGACTGGCAGCAGGAAATCAGGGTTCCTTGCTTTAGATACGACCGGAAAATTAGAGGTTGATCAGTTACTGTTTCGGGTTCACCTTGGTGCAGTGACTACAAGCCTTTACGTCAGGCGAAAAATTGGTGCAGTTCTGAGCCTCCTTCCCCGACTGTTCTTTTAGATAGGGAGCCATGGCGACGAACGGCGTGAGAGGCCCGAGTTTTCCCCCTCCCGCCAAATCAACCGTGTTCGAAGCGACAGGGTGTTACAAATGCGGCCGGCCGGGCCACTGGTCCAAGGACTGCAGCTTCGTCGGCAATGAGGGTCCCACCACCGAAAATCGCAACTCCC